TGATACCAAATTGAAACCTTATATTCTTCTGAAATCAACTTTGAGTACATAGGGGATATAATTTAAGATTAGAGAATACGGATTAGGGGTATTTATTTTATAAATGGGGGTCATTACATCTAAAATTTATTGATTGTTTAGAAATTTATATATATTGACCGACGATATATTATTAACACTAGAATGGTTTATCTCCGGGTTTATCATATTAACTTTAAATATGTTAAGTATATTTATTAACTATTTTAAATAAATTTATTCAAAATATGCTAACATTATTATATTTCCAAGGGGTCATGTGTTTTTTAGAGGGGCTTATCATTAAAACAATGTTTGGAACTACTAAAAAAAATATATTTGTTGGAAAATAATAAAACTATATCTTAGACTTTAAAATCCTAATATTTTTCCTATTTAAATATAATAACATAAAATTAATCTTAAACTTATAGCTTCTCGAAATCCGGAATTTAAATAAATCCAATCTCTCATCAGTTGTTGTCAAAAATAGAGACTCATATATATATGAATATCATAAGTTCTATTGATCAGTGGCGTATCCAGGGATTTTCCTATAGGGTAATTTTTTTTTTGGGGGGGGGGGGGGGAGCTTCGCCTTACAAACCTCTTTAAGCTGGCCTTCGGCCTATTCATATCTTTGAGCTGTTCTTTTAAATTATTCATAATTCAATAATAATTATATTAATATTTTAAGCTTTTATTTACTAATTCGCGCTTATGGATATTTAAAGAAGAAATAAAGGTTATAACCCAATTTTTTATTATTTTTAGTTGGGTATATTATAATAAATAAATTTTATGCAAGTATATTAAACAATTCAAAATATTTGGAAAATAGACGTAGCCCCCCCCTTTCAGAAATGTATCACTTTTTGTGAATATCATTTTAATAAAAAATCAGGGATGTGAACCCTTCGACAAAAAAAAAGGTTCAGGTCCGGGTTCGGGTGCAGGAATAAAATTTGAAAAGACCCGGGTACAGGTTTCGGGTTCAGGGAACATAAAAATTCATTTATTATTATACTTCAATATATACATATTCATAATTTACAAATAAAAAATTTTAAAATGAAATAATTTATATTTTAGATGTTTTATTCAATTGCACAATCATAATATCTTCTAAAATATCATCCTTGAAATTTCCATGTAAATTAGATATATATTTCACAGTTGAAAATTCCCGTAAGCCCTTACCTAAAATAGATAGTTATCTTTATAAAATTATTGTACTTGCGATGCCGGTACAGCCATGAAGATTCTAGATAAGATATATAATTCTGGATATATTGGAAAAATTTTTCCCTAGAATTTTAAAATATTTATATCCTTATTTATTCTCTTAACTTCCGAGAACTTAACTATTAAAGTTACAATAGGCATTTTTTGATCCTCCTTTCTATCTGATGATAATTTGATTTTTTTTTCTCTATCTAAAAGTAAAATTTAAATATCATCAATATTATTATTATCACTACTACCAGTAGGTATTGTCGTAACCTCCAATATATTGTAAATAATGGAGTTTTGAGTATGCCATAAATCCTTAAGATGACCTTTAGCCATTTGTTTTTGCTCAATATTCAATAAAACTTGATATCGAGGGTATAAATATATGGAAGGTTATACAACACTATTTTGCAAATATTGTTACTCTCGAATTTTCAAGTTTCCTAATATTTCGTATAAAAAGAACTGTAAATTTTTCTAAATCTAATCGGCATCTAATCCATATGCCATAAAAATCAAATAAACATAATTGTTCTGATTGTAATCTTAATATTGTTATTTTTAAAGGAACTATTAAACTAGTAAGGTCCTTTATTTGGCAATCCGACAAAATGATTTCACATGCTCCTATAATAAAATCATTATAGAAATCTTTCAAACTTAATAATCGTTCTAGTATCATACAAATTGATAACAAACGTGTTGTGCATTATCATTATCATTTAAATTAAAATATTATTATACAATTCACTATAAAAATAATCAACGTTTACATAATAAAATATTATTACCTACACTAATGATATCAATCTCAAAAAAAATGGAAGTCCAGGAAGAAAATTGAAAGAAAAAGGCGAAGATAAAATAAATGATTCCACAAAAAAAATTAATAAAATTTAAAAAAAAACTATATTATTTTTTAAAAAAATATTTTTAATGTTAAAAATTTTCATGCCCTTGGACCCTCCACTTTTAAAAAGGGTTCGGGTCCGGGTTCGGGTTCAGCCAAAACACAAGGGTTCAAGGTCCGGGTTCGGGTTCACATCTTGTAAAAAATATCTTCCTTAGTCCTCACCACATGTATGCATATATCTTAAACAATAATTTGAAAGAAGGAATGTAAAAGTTAATATTTTTTTAAACTTAAACTATTGATTATAATTCATACATTTTGGGAAAAAGCATTTATATAAAAAAGTGAAACCAAAGATGTTTTTAAGAAATAAAATATAAGCCAAAGATAAGTCTTAAGACAGAAGTGAAATATATTATAATTACAAATAATAGATCCATAAATTTACTAATATATAAAATATAATTTTTTATATAACTTTAATTTATTTTTCTTAATAAAAGTAAAATAAAATTTAACCTTAACAGTTGAGGCTTATTTGATTTTTATTATAAATTATTTTATAACCCTAATTAAATAAATATAATCATTTATTAATTTAAAATTAAATTTAATATTGTAATCAGCCGAGTTCAAAATCACTAATCAACTATTTTATTCATTTTTAAATTTAATTACCATGCCTCTTCTTAAAAATATTTCCAACATCCAAACATCTATAAGAAATTCCTTTATAAAAATAAGCAGACATATAGTTGATAATTCTCTATTATATATAATTTTTTTTATAAAATATTAGATCAAATGCAATTTTTACAACATATTTGACAATTATAGAATATATTACATTTAATATTTTAAAAACCTTATTAACCAATGCTTTTGATAATAGACATGAGCAACAATTCGTCTTCAATTCTTTAACGCCATCTATTATTTTGAATCGCATTCATAGTGGAAATCCGATCCGACACGATTTTACAGCTGATCGATTTTTATAATCGGTTTAGAATCAATTTTCTTTATTAAAACCAATATAGACTTAAAAATAAAATTAATATTATTTAAAAAAAAATTGATCTCATAAACAAATTTTTAAAATCGATTAGCTGTTAAATAGTATCAGATCGGATCCACTATGAATGCGGCCTAAAATTTAATCATACTATTCATCCCACAATGGATATAATATTTATTAGATATCTTTTTTTAACGTATTTTTAGGAAAGTTTATTATCTTCTTCTTTAAATAACAGTTTTGAGTTAAATTTTTAATACGAGTACACTTTTGATACTATTAAAATCTATTGTTATATTAAGACATAATAAATGGCGGACATAACATATAAGGCCGAATTCATAGTTGGATCGGATCCGACAAAATTTAACAGCTGATCGATTTTTAAATCGGTTTATGAGAATTAATTTTTTTAAAATAATATTAATTTTATCTTTAATTTTATACATGATAATAACCTAAGAAATATTGGTTTTAATTAAGAAAAATTGATTCTCATAAACCGATTTAAAAATTGATCAGCTGTTAAAATTTGTCGGATCCGATCCCACTATGAATTCGGCCTAAAGGGAGTGCGTCAATAATATATAAAATTTTAATACTTACATAATATCACTCTGGTCCTTATTTTACACTAAATGATTTATTTTTAACATGGCATCCTTACCGTGTAAATAACTCATGGCTTCCATATATTTGTAATATTTTATTTTATCAATTTATCTAACATAATAAACACTTATGGGAGTTTACATAGTGAGCGTCATGGCTATGACTGCAAATTAACCAACATCTATTATTTGTGTGGGTATGTAATTTAAGATTATTACTCCTGATGCTGAAAGCATTTGATTGCATAATTTACATGAGCAACAATGGTCAGCTGTCTTGTAGCTTATATATCATTAAAAACGTAAGATAATCTTTTAGAAATTGAAAATCTCACAATAATTATCTATTACCTATCTAGCTTCTATAACATCTAAGAGATAAATTCTTATGATTTGGTCTAGTCTATTCTCTTCTTAAAGAATTATTGATTTGGTAGGGACTCCAAATATTTTCTTAACAGTCCACATTTTCTTAATAGTCTATTTTATAAAATATTGTCTAAAATGGATGAAACAACGTTATATTATTTTAATAGTCTTTTCTTAATGAAGTTGCTAAGAATTAATTGTTCAGAGTTTGCAAATTTCAATTTTAAAGTGTAAAATATTAGTATAGAAATTTAACCTCGTATCTTGTAAAAATATTTTATGACTGTATATACACTAGGGAAACCCAGCAGAAGGCCGGACAAAAATTGGCCGAAGCCCTGAGAAAATTTTTAATTTACCCCCCCCCCCCCCCTCCCCCTTAGGAAAATCCTGGCTACGCCTATGATTTGGAAATTGAGTCAAGGTTTCCTTATACCAATTGAGCGCAACAATATTATGCTCAGGTAAAATGTATTAAATATTCATACCACAATTCTAATTCACTATTAAATTGAGTTCAGTATCAATATCATAGGAATAAAATTTTGCTAAATATTTAATTTTACCAATAATGGCATCAGAAAACGAAGAAGAATCTTTAGAATAAAATATGAAGATCATTAACTTGTTTTTTTTATCTAAAAACTATACTTTAATTTGCGATAAAAATCTAAGAATGGGATGAAATTGGATATTTTATTATATTCTTTAGTTGAGTCAACATTTATATTATATCGATTAGTGTTATATTATAAGATTTAGCTTTCGATATAAAAGTGGCAGGACTTAAATAATATTAATAATATTCATTAGAAAATATATTTAAAAATTTTTATCAATCAGTTTTTAATAGCTGTCAAATGTCATTTTCAACTAGTGATAAGGTATCAATCTTAATATTAGAGTAAACAAAAATTATTTTTACGACATGGAAGGCCTGACTCCTGATTTTACAAGAGTTTTATTTAAATTTATTGTTAATTTCACTTTCCCTCTCCTTTAGAATATTGCCGAAGATAAACTAAAGGCATTTCAAATAGGTGCTATGAGTATGATCAAAAAGCCAACATCTAAAAAAATTCAAGAAGAAAATAAGAAAAAAGTAATTATTAAATGTAATATATTAATATTACATATATTGTAGCAAGATGAGATAGCTACGGCTGAAATATATCAAGAATTTGTATCATCTTTTCAAGAAAAAGATAGATTAGGGAAAACATTTGTTAGAGGTGAGATAGTCAATGCACAACCTGATCAAATTAGTATATTTATTAATTAATAAAAATTACTATATCTTAATAGCCACAATAAAAAGCAACAAAACTGGTCAATTATATAAGCCCGTTTCTAAACTTCAAGAAACAAGTTCTAAAAAAAAAGAAAAGGTTTTTATAATGATAATGTTTTAACACTTCTTTTTTTTAATAAATATGATAGCCAATTCTAGTTAAAAAAAAAGATGACAAAAAGAAAAAGAGTAATTTAGAACTTTTCAAAGAAGAATTGCAAAAGTAATACTTTAATAAAAATATTATGTAATAAAAAAATTTATAAATACATTCTTTGATTCATATATATTTATTTAACCCTAATCTACTTTACCTGGGTATGAAATATTATTTTAAATTTTTGATTTGAACTATTTCTATTTCCCATCATCTATATTGAACAATTTTTTAATGTTTTATTTTTTTTGTAATTAAACTATTATATATATGTTGTTAGTAATTCTTTTGTAAAATAAGATAAGTAAATTACAGTTAATTTCATTTTTAAGACAAGTTAATTATAATATATAAGCTTTTTAATAGAATTAAGCTTGTCAGTTGGAAAAAATTTAACCAGGTCAAGCATAAAATATAAGGTTTGGTTCAAAATAAAAAATTATTAGCTTGGTTCAGGGAATAAGAGCCAGGTTAGAATTTGGAAATTTTATATAGTAAAAGTTAATAACTTTTTAAATAATATCTATAATTTAAAATTTTTTAGGAAAAAAGAATTCTTTAATGAGAAAAATCAAAATTAATTTTATAAATAATCTAGTAGCCAAAGGCCTCAATAAGTGGGCCTAGAGACCTCAGATAAAATTTATGGAAGAAAACCTATCTAATATAGTGTTGTTAAATGCTTGATTTGGGTTTATTTTTGAAAATATCCTGATTAAAATTTTAGCCAAAATAATATTATATAAACCTTGAGATTTGACAAGTAGAGATCCAAACTTTTTTGCCACCAATGATCAAAATCTCCTCGCTTGCATTATATTATTTTGTCTAAAATCTTAATCTGGCCATTTTAAAAATTGACCTAAATTGAGCTGTTTAACACACCATTTATAGATATATTGTATATAATTTGAGGGCAAAATGAATATAGGGGAAAAATTTTATTAGCATAAAAATGATATTTATTCTATCTTATTTTATTCAAATATGATTTTAGTTTTAAATAATAATTTTTATGCCTCTTAAGTAGAGATCTGCAAAAGTAGGCCCAGCCTGAACCTGGGTATATTTTTTTTTTAAGAAAATTAGGTTTGGGCTGGGTTGGGCCTAATATTTTTTAAGAAAATTCAGGCTGTGTTGGGCCTTAGAAATTTTTTTAAATATATCTAAATTTATCATTTTATATTGAATTTTTTATGTAAAATAAAAATATTTGATTTTATTTTATAGAAACTAGACACTTTATAACACATATTGTTTATTTTGAATAATTATAAAAATTAATTTCTATATTCAAAAAAATTTGGGTTGGGTCAGTAAATTTTTTCAAAAAAAATTTGGGTTTGCATTGGGTTGAGCAAAATTTTTTAAAAAAATTTTGGGCCAAGTTGGGCTTGAAAAGAAAAACAATTGCTCAAATAAATGATTCTTTTAAAAACCTATCTTCTAAATTTGCTCTTTATTTTTCAAAATACTTTCTAAAAATGTGAGGAAAATTCATCTATGATAAAAAAATATAAAGTTGAGAAATTCTGTTCTATAAAAAAATACTACTTTTATCAGTTAAAATTACTAATTAAATTTTATAATTATGAGAGAATTACCATTAAATTAATTTATAATGATATATTTCTGTAAAAAAATTAAAATTTATAAAAAATGCAAGAATGGTAAAAAATAGGGGTATTGAGATTTTTTTATATTCTTTTTATCAGTACTGCTCAAATTCCAAATGGGATAAAATGCAATAAATATTGTTTACATATTTTGTGTTCACATCATGTGAGTTGTCTGTTCAAAAACAATTTAGTATTTTAATTTCCATAATATTTTTCAAAAGGCTATTTTTTTTATATAAAATACTAAAAAATTTAAAAAAAATTTTTTTTATTGCTTCATTTTAAATTATGCTCTCTAATTATCTCTATCTAATTATCTCTATCTAATAAGAGATGTTAATTATATATTTACAAAAAATGAATTCAATGTTAATAATCAAAACATTAATCAAGAATACAAGAGGAAAGACAAGAAAGGAACAAACTAAAGCAAGAATTGAGAGAATCAATTAATAAAGGTGGAAAAATTGATCCAGCCATTGAGTCCTGGCTTTCTACCGATAAAGGTTGATTAATCATACAGTTTTTTTAAATATATTAATTAAGAAAATAGAAAAATAACGATTTTTTGAAAAATGAAAATTAATGTGAAAATAACGATTTAAAAAAAAATGAAAATAAATATTAGAAAATAGAAAGATAATGATTTTGAAAAAATATGAAAAAGAAATTGAGATGTATATAAATATCAAATTAAATTTTATAATTCAATTATATGTAAAGATGAAGACCATCTTTCGCCGTCGCTTGGAGGGATGCCTTCCCATCTCAGCTCTGCACCAGGAATGAGTGATCAATGGGACTCTGACCCTAATACCACCAACATATTTTTGGCGAATCTTAATCCTAAAGTAGCAGATTAAATATCAATCATTTTTTCATTTTTTTTTGGAAAGTTCACTTGTTTTTCTATTTAGTTCTGGAATAAATGGTAAAAAAGCCTGATTTTTAAGAGAAGTATTGAGTTAATAAGAGTATAATATATATTTACAAATCAAATTGCGAAATAAATGGACTAAGCTTACAAGAGACAAGGCTAAGAATACCTCAGGCATATTAAAATAATTGGTGAAAACTAAATTTTATTACAAAAATAAAAAGATGAATAGAATATATAAAGGAATAGAAATAGGGGGAAAATGATATGATAATTTTTTTATAATATATATAAATAAAAAGAATTAGAAAAAATTATAAAAATATAATAAGAATTAAAAAAAAAGGATATAGACAATGAATAGAAGGGTGAGAATATATTATAAGATCATAAATAAGAAATAGTATGACCCTGCTATATTAAAGTCTTTATCTCGGTCATTTTTGGAAGTGGTTAAGTGATGCAACTTATTAAAAGATAAAGTGCCCTACATCCATTTAATAAATACTCATAATTTCAAAACCAGTTGAGTGTCCAAACGAAACCCTTTTTTTTATCAAAAGAATACTCTTTAATCTTAGATATTTATTTAAAAAAATTACTTATAGCCGTTTTAAATAATTCCGTTTTCTCTCTCTCTAGATTTTTATTAATATTTTTCATATCATTTAAGAAATCTAAAATAAATTGGGTGCACATTTAAAATTAAGGAATAACCATCGCCTTTTTAATTGCATTATTTACAGATTTTATTGATATTCTACCAAATTCCTTCTTTTTGGATTATTTTTTCTTTTCTTAAAAATAAAAATTGAAAAAGGCTTAGTTTTCGTGTCTCAGAAACTGACCGATTTTAGCTTGATTTCTTAGATGCTTAATCAATTTTCCCACTAAAAACTAGAATATGCCTTATGGCAATCAGCTTTTAATTTAAATAACACCAAGTCATATATATATTTCTATCTTATTATTATTATATATACTTAAACCCCCATTTTTCATTTCTAGAAAGATGCTTTTATTTGAAATACTATTTTAATTAACAAAAAACTAGGTCAATGAAGAAAAGCTCTGTGAGTTGTTCGGGGAATTCGGGCCTCTAGCGAGTGTCAAAATAATGTGGCCTAGGACAGAGGAGGAGATAGCCAGAAACAAAAATTGTGGTTTTGTGGCCTACATGAATCGTAAAGATGGCGAGAAAGCATTGGAGAAACTTAGAGGTTTTTTTTGACTAACGTAGTTTATATAAGGTTAGAAGGAATGAAAGAATGAAGAGAAGAGAATAATAAATTTTTATAAATAACTATTTCTTATGTACCATTAAAATACCAGGTATAGACCTCCAGGGTTACGAAATGAAACTCGGCTGGGGCAAGCCGGTTCCTATTCCGCCTCATCCTATATACATCCCGCCCCACATGTTGGAGCTCACGCTTCCTCCTCCACCCTCTGGTCTCCCTTTCAACGCCCAACCTGTCAAAAAAACTCGCAAAGATCAAAATGATGATGAAAAAGAAGATAGAATTGAAACGAATGCAATTGAAGACGATGGTGAGGGATTTAATTTGACCCCAGGAGGTATTATGCCACCCCTCGATGTTCATGGGAGGAAAAAGTTTGAGAAGGTAGTTATTTTCCTAATATATACACTTTAGAAAAAGAAGCTTTTTTTGAACCTAGTACTTTTTGTGTAATTAAGATGCGAAACATGTATATTATTATCAGATACAAGAATCTGGTAATTAGCGAAATTATTATATTCCTCCTATTTAACTAACCAGCATTTTCATATTTACACTCAATGTATATGATAGAAGAAACAATTAATTGTGTTATAGGTGGATATTAATCCAAATAAGGATTTGAAGATTTGGATGAACAAGAATGACAAATAATTATGAATCAATATTGTATATTCATCACATGAGATAATATTTGTATATCTTAACTTATGTGGATGGATTATATTAAATACTAATATGTGCAACTAAAAAAATAAGATGCTAAATTTTTTTTGATAAATATTTTATAATTAAAAAATAACTGGCATGAATTTTCGATTTATTCTTATTTTTATTATAGATACAAAAATCTCAGATTATAGCAAGATCCATTTTTTTCCCAAATGGATCATACAGAATTGAATACTTAGTTAACCATTCTTTCAATGTTTTAAGCCACCATAATTATATAAAATATAATATATTCTAATTCTGATATTTCGCCTATTTTTTTTTGTAAAACCTAAATTATTAGCCAAATTATTATTAAAATGATTTTATTTAAAATTGTTATTTTTAAAAAAATATTTATGTGATTTAATATGGTTTTCTTATTCAAACTGGAAACATTTTCTTTATATTATATATGTTTGTTTTTAAACTAATTCATCGAATATTTTTTTGTAATTATTAATTTTTTTTAGAATCAATTTTATTTTCCTTCTTTTGACCATTTCCGATGGATGGATAGATGTATATACAGTATTTTTTTATTTTAGACTCTCCACTCGGCTACCGTTAGGGTTGTCATACCTACCGAAAGGTTAACCATTCTTTTCCCCTTATTAAATATTATTTTTTCTTTCTCGATGTCTTTCTTATCGTCTATATCACTTTTTTTTAAAAAAATAGAAATTTACCATTTTAGGTTATATTGCCTTAATTACCTTTTTACTTTTTTTGATACACCATATCTCGATTTTTATTAGACCACTGGATCCTTTATAAAATTTAGATTATTTAGGTCGGTCAAATTGTGCTAAAATTAATCAAGTTACCAAATGGCGTCTGCCATTTAAACCAGATATATCTTCTCTAAAAAAATGACTCATAATCATCCTATATATATATATGTATATTTTTTTAAACACATTATTTTACAGGCCTTTGCTTTGTCTAATCCATAGAATGATTGAATTCGTTATAAGGGAAGGCCCCAGATTTGAAGCTATGATTATGAACAGGGAACTGAAGAATCCCATGTTTAGGTTGAGACACATATTTTTTCCCTATTATCGTAAAAAAAAGGAACAGAAAGTTTAAAGAAAATTTATATCTAAAATTTTAAGTTCAATATTTAAATTAATGATTTTATATTTTTAAGAATTGGAACTAGTTAAATAGCTCAAAAGCCAGGTTCTTCAATCCCTAACTAAAAAATAAAAGGAGCTAAAAAGTTGAGTTTTATTTGCCTATATCCCCTTTGCTTCAATTTTTGTATAACTAATTCGCACTATTCAAAAAAAGTTTAATATTTTAAAAAATTTATATAAAGGTTCTTATTCGACAACAAAAGCCCTGCTCACATATATTACCGCTGGAAATTGTTTTCCATTTTGAACGTGAGATTTATCAATGATTTTAATTTATTATATTTAGTTTTCCTAAAAAATAGAATATGTTTCATTTAGAGTAGGTATTACATAAAAGATAGAGGAAAAATAATTTTGAAATTAATTTTTTTTCTTAGGGTGATACGCCTACCGAATGGCGGACCAAGAAGTTTAGGCTTTTCAAGGGCGGATCTTACTGGCAGCCTCCTCCGCCTTTCAATACCTTCTCAGCAGCATCAAATCCACCTATTAATCCTACCATTCAAATATCGTCTTCATCTTTATCCACTGGCAAAACAAATCAACAATTGCCTGAGAGTTTGCTACCTGAAAGTGAACTCAGACACAGCAATACAGAAAGATATCCGAGGCGGGAGCCTGAGCCCAGAGAACTATTGAGCCAGAGGTTTCCCTTTATATATTTATCCAATATACAGAGATGTACTGATACCATTTTTTGCTAATCTCAATAGCTGTCCCTATACTGCCTGGTATTTGGTCATTACCAATTACAGAGTATCCATGCTATTAAATTCTCGCTTGATTGATTTATTAATTATTAATTTAATATAATATAGTGATACATCTGCACTCTTATATTTATTGGAGTGTTTATTTGATACAATATAATATGATGTTTATGTTTTAAGGCAAAGGGACAGATTGGAAAACATGTTACGCAAGTTAACCACGGATAGAGAAAAGGTATGTGAGGCGATGCTATTTTGCGTTGATCATTCCGAAGCGGCCCAAGAAATCGTAGAATGTTTGCACCAGTCACTTACTATCCCTCAAACCCCGTTACTCAAAAAAGTTATTTTATACTGAATCCAATATCAAAAATTATCAAAATTTATCTTTAAATATAAAAACAACAGTTATCTAGAATTTACCTCATATCCGATATATTGTACAATTGCAGTTCCAAAGCTCCCAACGTGTCTTATTTCAGGAAAAGGTTTGTATAAATATATTTAAATATCCGAAGTTTTTAGAAAATATTCACTAATAAAATTATTATATTTTCTTTTAAGGGGAATCAATATCGAATAAATTAATCACCTCACTAATATTAAACCTAAATTATGCTTAATATTTTATTTATTTAAATTTCTTATATTTATAATAACAATTATTTAATAATAAAATATGTTTGTAATGAATAGTATGGTTGGGTTTAAATTAGATTGCCAACTGCATTGCTCGTTTCATGATATAATTAGCTACTTTTGAAAAATGAATATTAAAATATACATAAGAAAAGATTATTATAGCTTTGAAAGAAAGAAAGTTTACAAAAGAAAATTTTATTTATTTTATAATAAAAAATATCTAAGCTTTCAAAGACAATTGCCCGCCATTTTCAGGGATATACAAAAATGTTACAAGGACATCAAAGCCAGATTGAAGGCCGAACAGTTTAAAGTGAGTAGTAATTATTTTATATTACACTATATGTTAAAAGCTAAATCAGAACTAAATAATATATCCTAATATTTAACTTTCACAGTAATATATTTATATTATCTTTGATTTAAAATTTTTATAAAAATTCTACATTTTTATAAGGTTTGCTTAAAGTATTCATAAATGAGAATATGCGTTTCTTAGTTTAAAATATTTAAAAAAAAAATTAAATTAAGAAAAGAATGAGTTTCAATTCATTAAAAAATTTGAACTAATTTCTTTAGTGAATATTAACGTAAGCTGATGATTTGGGAAATTTATTAGGGTTTTTATTAATTTTTTTATTAATCACATTAAAAAAATTTTTTAAATATACTTTGACACAGCAAAAAATCATGAGTTGCTTAAAGGCTTGGGAGGATTGGGATATATATCCCGGAGATTACATATGCCAGCTACAAAACATCTTCCTAGGATTGGTTAATAAAAAAATAAATATAGATTCAAATTTTTTATCATTGTAAGTATAGAGTTTTCTGTACTTTAATTTCACCACAATCGACTTCAAAGTATTCTATAAACTTGGGAGATATTTTAGGAAAAAATTCGGATAAATGTGTTTCAAAAATTTTAAGAAATTGAAGTTACCGATTTATTAGGAATAAACTAGAAAACCCTAAAGGGTCTGCCTTAGTGTTGTTAATTTGCTTGGTCGAAAAATTTACGATCCAATTTGGTGCTCAAGCCTGCTCTGAGCACGAACCCGGAGCACATACCTATAAGACCCGGGGTTCAGACACATGGTTTAGGCCCAGGGTTCAGATGTATAATGTTATTCAAAATAATTCAAGTAAAGATTATTTACCAAAAGTAAAAGCAAAATGCAGTGGTGTTTTCTGGGCTAGATAGTAAAGCTCTGCAAGCAACTCAGCTTCAGGTTAAAAAATTTTAATCGGGTCCACCAGAGTTTAAAAATACCAAAAAAATAGGATTAAAATGAGTTATTATGTTGGTTATCCGAGCTATTATTTCTAGCCATACGACTTTTGCTACGATTCTAAAAATCACTTTTTTCTAAATAAGTTATAAATTAGAGTTTTTCTGGGATTAAGACAAGGACAATTAGTATTAAATTTAACTCTATACAAAAATTAAAATGCTTTTCATTTAAAATTTAAAATTAAAATATTTTCAGACTCAGGTAAAAAGAAGGTGTTAGAGCCTTAAAATCAATAGGTATGGCTGTGATAGGGTTTTAAAATAAATTGAAATGGGCTCAGGCCAAAAAAAAATGAATTTGCAGAGCTCTATCTCTGGTAGAGTAAACATGTTTTTTAATTACCTACAGTAAGTGCGAATCTGGCTAAGCATACAAAAATGAATGGGAATTTTTTATAATCATTGATTTCAGGATTCAAAAAAAAATTTATTATTATATTAAATGTAATAATGTGATGTGATTCAATGTAAATTAATTAAAATAACACATTTACTTTTAAAAACTTGAAATAAAATGTTGAGAAAAACATTATTATTTTTAAAACTTCTAGTAATTTAACTTTTAAAACTTATATTAATTCATTTTAAATTTACGAATTAATTTTAAGCTTCTAGCAATTTTTTAAAAATTATAGCTCAGAAAATATACGATTATAGACGGGACATTTGCAGCAATAAAATTTAAAACTTACCTGGATGATTTATCATCCATTTTGCCATTGAATTCCCTCATAATTATGGATAATGCGCCTACTCAACGTGTTATACAATAACTAAAAATTATCCAAATTTAGCATATCTTCCACCTTATTACCTGATTTTTTTTGGCGTTTTTAAAAATCAATATATCCCAAACCAAATAACAGAATCCATATAATCGAGGCAATTACTTCCTTTTGCTTAATTTCACTAATTATGATTTCAAAGCCTTCTAATCACATACGATACGATATATCGAAGAGGAAATCCGAACGACTTATTTAATAGATAATTACACTAGATTATTATCAGAGACCTGCAGATACCATTTGTACGGCCCTGCCCGGATTTTTTTATAAAAAAATTTTTTGATTAATTTTTCAAAAATTATCTTCGGCCCGGCCCTGTATTTTTTTAAAAATTATTTTATTTATTTATGCTTTTTATAGCTAATAATGGTCATATCAAATATTTTGGTTTTAAAATACCTGGATATTTTTTTAAAAAAAAATTTCAGACCCAGCCCAAGTATATGACCAGAGCCGGGCCTGCAGGTCTCTTATTATTATATAATATGGATATATTTCGTTATATTATGTACAATATAGAAAAATAAATACTAAATAAAGATTTCACAAGTCATTTTCGAAACTATAATATAAGAAAGGTAAATTTAATAGAAAATAAAATAAACAATAAAAAAATTATTATAATTTGACCTTAAGTTTTACCCAAAAAGAAATTATGTATTTTTTAACTCATTCAAAAAAAGTCTTCCAGTTTATAGATGAAAGTTAATTTTATAAAAACCTTGGCATAAAGCAAATTTTAAAGAAAAAAAGATTATTTTAATTTTTTTTATAAGTTTAAATTGTTTTAAATTGCAAATGTGTTATTTTAATTATTTTTGCAAACAAAATATTTTTATCTGGATGGATTTTAATTTAATCGTCAACATGTTTTATTAATTCATCATAACACTATAGAGAAAATTTAAAAAAAAAATTTTTTTATTCAATTCTTCAACTTTCACTTTCAACTATAATTTTAAAAATGAAATAAATCGAATATAATAATTTTATGGCGCCAAATATATAAAACAAAAAATTAATTAAATTAATTCAGTATTTTTGTTTATTTTTATATTTTAAAATTTCTAAAAAATTAAATATATTAAAAATAAATGTTAAAATTTGGAATCTTGTTCTTATAGAACATCTTCCTATTCGCCCTGACTTCGAAAATACTTAAATTTGAATTAAATTTAAGACGAATAGTCCTTTACCTGATCCCATAAAATTTCTAATTTATCGTTTATTAAGAAAACAAAGTGATTTTTCGTACGTTATAAAAATCGTATAACTGGAAATAATAGATCGGTTAACCAACATAATAACTCATTTTAATCTTATTTTTTTGATATTTTTAAACCCTAAGTGGGCCCAATTAAAATTTTTTAACCCAAAGCTGGGTTTCTTGCAGTCCTTTACTATCTAACCCCAGAAAACACCATTGCGTTTTGCTGCTTCTCTACTTTTGATAAATAATTTATATTTGAACTATTTGGAATAACAATATTCACCTGAACCCGTGTCTGAATTACAAGTTCGTGCTCAGGGCTGGTTTAGTCGATTTTAGACCCACGGGTCTGGATTTTAAAACCAATTTATAACACTAATCAGCCTTATGTAAAAGTGCCTAACTGGTTATTTTGTAATTAGAAAAAGTTTTAGAGAATCTTTTTGTATTTTGAATGATAGACATTAAATCATTTTTTAATGGCAAGATTGGTACAAAGGTTACGACGTGCCTTGCAACCCCAAAGACATGGGGGTTGGGCATTTGGTGCAATTTTTTTAGGTCAGTTTTTTTTTCGAAAGCGAATCTGCTCTTCTCTTCTCTAGAAAGAAGAAAGAAAGAAAGAGCTCACTCAGGTTTGGCTTGTTTTATTCAACCAGTGTAAATAATCCTTTTAGGGAAAATACTGTTTTTTAGTTCCTTTAGTGAAATCAAACTATAATCTAGTATACTACAACAGCCAAACAATTTTTATTTACTAGCCTTATTTAGCCAAAAATAGATTGGCTTTAGTATTTTAGCAAATTAAAAATAATTATTTTCAACAGGATTCCCGAGTTGGGAAATTATTTAACCATCTATTTTTTTGAAAATCTCCTAACATATACTATATTTCTATAAATAAAAAACAGCAAACAGATATCAATGTCAGAACCAATATTCTATACAAACGATACCAAGAACCTTTGCTGAGCTTGATAAATAACGGTCAAAATTCGTTCGCTCAAAAACAAGAATCATTATCATTTCAGCTAAATCAGGATACAGAAGGTTTCGACTTGGACGGCGCACCTCTGGATATTGCTGGTAACGAATCGGAATTGTTGGCGGACAAACGGTCGCGGGTTATTAAAGATTTTAAAAAATGCTATTTTTTAAACGAAGTTAACCTTCAATTTATGTTCTTCAAAAATAATTTTTAACGTTATTAGTATAATAGGAGTAAGATTTTGTTTTTAACCAACCCCCTCACTTACTCTATCTACTCAAATAAGGCGAGAATAAAAATAAAGTTATCTTTATATCCATATAACTTATTGATAAAATCAGAGTGACATAGCCCCAACAAAACTCTCCATCTATGAAGATTTATATTCGGATAACGACGAAAACAGCAAGCTGGAAGACATAGATGGGCTACCTTTTACCAATCTCAAAAATCCCGTTTTAGACAATTGTATAATTTAACTACCTTTTTGTTTATTTATTAGCATATTTTTTGTTTTTTTAATATTTTTCTACCAATATATAGCTTATTACAGTCACATAGTGTAATTTTCAAACACCGTTTTTTTTCAAAAGTAACTTTTATAACGGGTTAATTAGATTGAAAAAATACATACATTTATTTAAAAAAGAACATTAAATGATTTAAAAAAAATACATGCATATATCCTGTTTAATTAATCATTTTGATTTTTTTTGACAAATTTGTAGTAACTAATTGAATCATAAAATTAGTATCATATTTTTAAATATTGATAGCATCCACATTACAAAATGCCAGCATTAATACCACTGCTAACATAGTCGGGGCATTTGTTAAATCCAAATGGGAAGAGGTGGATGAAACTACTTTGCAAGCCCAAGGTATATTTATAATGTTAATATCGTCGGTCTAGAATTGGAGTGCTCCACTCGACATTTTCAAAATTTTTGAGTTAGAAGTGGATAATAACTTATTTATTCCTAATATATATAAAAATAAAAACTAGATTAAAAAATATTAATTTTTGCCAAAGTTATAGCTCTGTCAATTTTGCTCTATTTGCATATAACGATGTAATTTTTGCTTCATATGCATGCCCTATCATATTATCTTATTTAATCACGTGTTGTATTTCCCTCCTTTTTTAATTTTTTGCTTTCCATATTGAATCGTATAATTTTCATTACATTTATCTCTATTCCTATATGTCGAGGTAAATTTTATATTATTACATATTATAAATTAAATATTTGAATTATTATGTATTCGTTTGTTAATATAATAAATTTCATTTTTTTTATTTAATCAAGCTGGCAATTTTTGATAATGTTGGATATCTATTTTTATTTAATTTCCACCAGTCTAATGGATTTGTATTATTACAAATTGTGGCTTCATCCACATATTTGCTTATTTCTAAGTTATTATTGTTGTGACTAGGTTTAACCTGATATATTTTATAAAACCCTTAATTTCTAGTTTTAAATAAACATGGAAAAAAAATCATGAAGCATTACCATAAAAACAGGGCTAAGAACCGACTCTCAAAATTTTACTGAATCCAAATTCTTTTTTTAAACTAGGAATTTATTAGGTGATGTAAATATAAAAGTTATTTATTTAATCAAAATAATCTCTGGCAATTTTTGATAATTTTGGATATCTATTTTTATTTAATTTCCACCAGTCTAATGGATTTCTATTATTATAAATTGTGGCTTCATCTACATATTTGCTTATTTCTAAGTTATTATTGTTGTGACTAGGTTTAACCTGATATATTTTATAAAACTCTTAATTTCTAGTTTTAAACAAACAAACATGGAAAAAAAATCATGAAGCATTACCATAAAAACAGGGCTAAGAACCAACTCTTAAAATTTTACTGAATCCAAATTCTTTTTTTAAACTAGGAATTTATTAGGTGATGTAAATATAAAATTTATTTATTTAATCAAAATAATCTCTGGCAATTTTTGATAATTTTGGATATCTATTTTTATTTAATTTCCATCAGTCTAATGGATTTCTATTATTACAAATTGTGGCTTCTTCCACTTATTTGCTTATTTCTAAGTTATTATTGTTGTGACTAGGTTTATAACCTGATATATTTTATAAAACCCTTAATTTCTAGTTTTAAATAAACATGGAAAAAAATCATAAAGCATTACCATAAAAACAGGGCTAAGAACCAACTCTCAAAATTTTACTGAATTACCTTCTCATAATTTAAATAAAGATTACATAAAATTAAATTTGATTAAATAATTGTTTAACATGTATCACAATTTTTTTATATTTCCAGAAGCATAGCAAATGAAAGAAAAAGACTAAAGGAATGTGGTGAGGCCTACATCAATATCAAAGGTGATTTGAAAAGAGCAAGGATGGTTCAGAATGATCATTCCAATAAATGTAAATTTCAGTGTCATCTAGATCAGAGTAAAATTATTCATGAGGTTTTTTGGAGCTTAGCTGATGAAGCTAAAGGTTCTTTCTATAGCAAATATATTGTTAGGACTCCATGTAAAAGAAGGATAAAAGATTCTTTAAATTATAAAAACTATTCATACTTATATTTTTTTGAAGTGGAGAATGTTAAAGTTAGAGTCTGCAAACAATTTTTTTTACAAACACTTGATATTAGTAATAAACAAATTAGTTACAAATAAAAAGGTTCCGTTTTTGAAATTTTTATTGATTTTAATTTAGTGAACGGTATGTGGTTAAATTTGAATTTTTTCGAAGCAGAATGGTAATCGAAATAATTATTTGAAGTCATTTCAATTACCTCAAATGGGTTTTTGCGATTAGTACCTCTTATTAATCTATAAAGAGTTAGAGGGCTATGGATCTCATTTTTTCTTAAACATCTTTCTATTTGGCTATGTATTTAATCTACCTCTTGTAAAATCGAATGGTCTGGAGCACCATATTTGATTTGTATTGTTTCGATTTGACTGGTCGTGTTATTTGCTAAATAATGTTTTAAACCATAAATTATAATAGAATTTTTATTTTGGGCGACACAGGAATCAGCCCACAGAATTAGATGAGGGATATTTGGAAATTTTTATAATATCGCATCTACTAATGCTATCACACTGCAAGCTATGTCATTACCAGTTCTTCCGGTTTGGCCTTGATGCCAAATAGCACAATAACCACGTTTGTCTTAACTGCAATATGCAGTTTCATTATAAACTGATAATTTTCTTTTATAATAAGAAGATCCAACCTCAGATCTTGGTAAGGTTATGACATTTAAGGTCAAATGATATGACTAAAAATTTTTTTGACCTAGCTGTCCATACCTCTTTCAATACTCGTCTCAACATAATCGTCATGGTGCTTATTGTAGTTACAAATATCTTCTTCATTCATATATTCTTTATTAATTAAATACCGCTCACATTTATCGCACCTATATTTTACTGGTTTAGCAAATCCTATATTAAAACTATTTTTAAATATTGTTGTATAATAATGCGCCTTAACAGGAATTCTCGATAATTCATCACATTTTTTAGAATATAGATCATAAAGTATTTTAAAATTGAGACTTCTATCAAAGTATTCCTTGGAAGAATCTTTTCGCCTGTAATGAGAATGGACCTTTGGAATGGAGTTTATGTGATCGATGATGAAATCTTTATCTTGATCAGAAATAACTTTTTTAGTATTTTTACCTTTTCTAGGAGCCAAATAAGTTCCATTATTTTGGTATAAATGTTTAAAAAAATAACTAATTCGTTTATTACTAATATCAAGTGTTTGTAAAAAAAATTGTTTGCAGACTCTAACTTTAACACTCCACTTCAAAAAAATATAAGTATGAATAGTTTTTATAATTTAAAGAATCTTTTATCCTTCTTTTACATGGAGTCCTAACAATAAATTTGCTATAGAAAGAACCTTGAGCTTCATCAGCTAAGCTCCAAAAAACCTCATGAATAATTTTACTCTGATCTAGATGACACTGAAATTTACATTTATTGGAATGATCATTCTGAACCATCCTTGCTCTTTTCAAATCACCTTTGATATTGATGTAGGCCTCACCACATTCCCTTAGTCTTTTTCTTTCATTTGCTATGCTTCTAGAAATATTAAAAAATTGTGATACATGTTAAACAATTATTTTATCAAATTTAATTTTATGTAATCTTTATTTAAATTATAAGAAGGTAATTCAGTAAAATTTTGAGAGTTGGTTCTTAGCCCTGTTTTTATGGTAATGCTTTATGATTTTTTCCTTAAAACTAGAAATTAAGGGTTTTATAAAATATATCAGGTTATAAACCTAGTCACAACAATAATAACTTAGAAATAAGCAAATATGTGGATGAAGCCACAATTTATAATAATAGAAATCCATTAGACTGGTGGAAATTAAATAAAAATAGATATCCAAAATTATCAAAAATTGCCAGAGATTATTTTGATTAAATAAATAAATTTTATATTTACATCACCTAATAAATTCCTAGTTTAAAAAAAAGAATTTGGATTCAGTAAAATTTTGAGAGTTGGTTCTTAGCCCTGTTTTTATGGTAATGCTTCATGATTTTTTTTCCATGTTTATTTAAAACTAGAACTTAAGGGTTTTATAAAATATATCAGGTTAAACCTAGTCACAACAATAATAACTTAGAAATATACAAATATGTGGATGAAGCCACAATTTGTAATAATACAAATCCATTAGACTGGTGGAAATTAAATAAAAATATATATCCAACATTATCAAAAATTGCCAGCTTGATTAAATAAAAAAAATGAAAAACAAACTAATACATAATAATTCAAATATTTAATTTATAATATGTAATAATATAAAATTTACCTCGACATTAAAATAGGAATAGAGATAAATGTAATGAAAATTATACGATTCAATATGGAAAGCAAAAAATTAAAAAAGGAGGGAAATACAACACGTGATTAAATAAGATAATATGATAGGGCATGCATATGAAGCAAAAATTACATCGTTATATGCAAATAGAGCAAAATTGACAGAGCTATAACTTTGGCAAAAGTTAATATTTTTTAATCTAGTTTTTATTTTTATATATATTAGGAATAAATAAGTTATTGTCCACTTCTAACTCAAAAATTTTGAAAATATCGAGTGGAGCACTCCAATTTTAGACCGACGATATATTTACTATTATAATGCGTCTTTGGAAATTTGGGGGTAGAAAAAATCTAAAGATATAATATAAAATTTTCTAATAATATTTAAAATCGAAGTAATGACCACATCCAAATGGGAAACACTAGAGGATCCCGAAAAATACTATACGGAAATTCAAAATACTCCACCTTCTGAGCATGACGACGAAACGGATGCGCCGATCAATAACGGATTGTTTTCTCAAAGATTACATGCCGGAGAGGAAGAAGAGGATATAGACGGAGAAGCAATGGTGGAACCAGCCTTGGCATCTACCTTAAAGTTTATTTCTTCCGTTTTTTTTATATATCATTTTTTTACTTTCAAATGTTTTCAATACTCTCTTCCTATGTCTTTCCTTTAATTTCATTTATCCTTTCAATATAAAACAGTCTTGATCCCCTCTATATTGGTATCTTGTTCTTTTATTTCTTTTTCCATTATTCCATACTGTTTTCTCTTCCTCTTTGCCAATATATTTTTTCTTTTAGAAGTAAAAATTGGTAAGTTTCTTTATTAAATAAATGAATAAATGTTATTCATTTGATCTAGCATGGAACACATTAGCCAGGACAAGCGTTCCAAATTGAGGGAAATCGAGGTAATATTATACTATACACATAGTTTGATTTTTGAATATTTAAATATTGATCGTTATCAAGAAGCTGAATTAGTAGGAAATAAATGAATAAATACACGGATTGGATGAGTTTATTTAAAATGAAATTTATTTAATATATCGTCGCCTGAAAATTGCATTATTCAATCTCCATTTAATATTAAAGAAGAGCAATTACAAAAATTAACTTTCTATATTTTGAATATGATGGTATAATCTTGTTTTGGAAATTTAACTTTATTTTATATTTTAATGTAAATAGATAGTATAATTAAAATAAAATGATTTATGTAAAGCCATTTTTGACTAACCTAATTCTCAAGCTACATTCTTTATCTTAGCTTTTTAACATAATTTTTCAATAGCTTTTATAACTACTAAATTTGTATTTTCTAAATAATTTTTTTTCTCTCATTTATTATACTGGTATAATTTATATTTTATGGCTGTTTATTGATTAAGACATAAATATTTTTTCGAAGCAAAAGTAACACTAATTATTTCGTTTTTTTAATATCCATCACACAGTTGAAAGTGATTCAATATCAAGATGATTTGGAAAGCGGAAAAATAAGCAAAAAGTTTGGGTTAAGCCAGCAGGAACAAGTCCAGAAATACAGAATTAAACTCTTGAACTCTGTAAAAATAATATATAACACCATTTTTCAAATAATGACCACTTTACAAAATTATATTTTATATATTTTTACTTTTTTTATGAATAATTTTTTTTAATATTTAACTGTTCTCCTTTTTCTTAAGCCCAATTACTCCGATATACGTTCAACAAATAACACTCCTCACAAATCTTCATCCTCTAACACTCACTCTGAACAACATAAGAAATCCAGACAAGGATCCAGGGAGGCACCCAAAGATTCCTCTAATAAACACTCGTCCACTGGTAGTCGGAAAAAAAGCAAAGACGAGGGCAGCAGTAGTAATAAAAAGCGAAGGTAGATAAATAACAGAAAAAAATATAATAAAGGAAGAAGGAAAGAAAAAAGAGCAATGCTAAATTATAGGAAGAGCTAACAAACTTGAAATTTATTGATTTTTATTATTATTTTTCTAATAAAAATGTTTGAAATCAAAATGATATCAGATCTGTTTCGACAAATTCATCTTCGTCCAAAAGAGTTCGCAGGAAATCTAACGATGATGGAAAAAACAAGAAAAACAAAGAACATAAGTTAATTTTCATATATTTTAAGGAAAAAAATGAAGTTTTAAAATAAGAAAATTGTGAACATATTGTTTATAAAAATGCAAATAATTAATTTTTGTCTAAACACATTTTTGTTAGATTGCTTAATTTGATTGGATTGGAAATAATTTTTTTTTGCTATAGTAGTTTCTGATAATATTGAGAATTATATTTTAAAATTATTTTATTAATTTATTTTTAGAAAAGATGACCGGAAGGACAAAAATTCGGAATCGTCTAAAAAACATGGCAGCTATCATTCTTCCAAAAAATGAATAAAGATATTTCTAATATTTATGCCATAAAAATTATATTTATATTGTACATTATTCATATTGTTTCGTTTAACAATCGATCATAAAATTTAGGAAAATAAGATGAAACAATTTTAAGATGAGATGAATTTGGCCAGTCCGAAAAAGTAATATATAAAATGTCCGTTATTTTTTGTTAACCAAATATAACCTGTTATAATTAATTTAACCTGTATCAGAAAAATATATGATTCACCAAAAATTTAATAATCCTTGGTCGGGCCTAATTTTTTTTTAAAACTTTAACAGTCTAGAAAATTAAAGAAATCGGGCTGGTCCTATACTCTGTTTATTTTATATCAGTTTATATTTAAGAATCAATTGTATAAATCCTAAAAATTTCTTGAATTAAAAAAAATATGATCAGGTTTCACATTTATCTCCGTCTTTTTATAAGGATCATTTATAAGTAATATAATATTCACCTGCCATGCCTTATTCCATATCTAATTTCGGCGTCTACTAATTCGTTTGATATGAAAGCCCTTTAAACTAATTAAAGAAATTGACAAGCTCGTCGCCTATAAAATAGTTGCACCCTTTGAAGGTATGCCGGCCCAAATCAGTCCATAGTTTTGGACAAGAACTATTATAATAGATACCGATGTTGCCTCACCTTTAAGGTTGTTTGATTTTACTGACGGTCCGATATTTTTCCGGTGGTTTTTTTTTCATTTTATATGTAGTTTTTTCGTGTTTTTTTTCCTATTACCAAAAAGGTTGTAATGTTATACAAACGTTTTAATTTTAAAAATAATAATTAATTAACCTTTTTAAAACTACTGCCTGGCTTAGCCTATCAAAATATCTTGACAATTAGCCTGGCCCTAAATAAGCTCACTTTATAATTTCACCCGAGAGCCTTAGATTTATTGTGTACATATCTTTCCTGAAACTTTACTAAAATCGATAAGATACTGGTATTTTGATATAACAGGTTTCATTCATTTAATTAAAAATATTTCTCAATATAAAGTAATATATTTCTGAAATTATTTTGAATAAATTAGATTTTAAAACAAAAAAAAAGGTACTAATAAGTGAATATTCCATTTATCCACTTCATTTCGTATTGCATATTATATATAATCTAGAAAAAAAATTTATTGATATTTTAAAAGGAATTTTCATTTAATTTATGTATTGGCAAATATTAATATTTTCCTTTAAATCGCGATTTAATATTTAAAAAAAATACGATTTTGCCAGCCCTAAGCAGGACTACACCAAGAATCTATCCGGAATCCTTTAATATTTGTCATAGCAAGAGGTAATGCCTAGAGAATGCAAGAACTACTTTATGGTAGATCATGTATAATGTCAATATTATGTTGATGGTGAAGGGTAACGGAATTTAGCTATAAAATTCCTAGATGAAAGCCAACGTTGAAAATGAATGTATAAAAAGGAGGAAATAATAATTGAAAAAAAAAACGAAATATAAGATGGAATAAACCGACAAGACATTGTTAAATAATTTGTTGAGAGTTGAAGTTTTTCTTATGGGCTGTTTTTTTAGATAAAGCTTCATTTTTTGCAATGAGCCTACAGTCTTACTACCTAGGCTTAGTAAGGTATAACCAGAGTTAAAGGATCGAATCAAAAGATGGCCGATCCTGGATTCGATCCTAAATTTGTCAATTTTCTCGGATTTAAGATCCTGACCTTAAATCGTGATCGAGATCATTTTTTTAAATATTCGATCCCGATCCTTTTAAAAATTATTTTTTTACTTAAAAAGCAATAAATAAAATTAAATTTAAATATCATTTAAAAAAAAATATTTATCTTTATCAACCACCATTCCACCTGATTTTATAATTCAACAATTTCCCAAATTTTTTGTAAGAACAAGTTATATTTATTTATTAATTATGTTATAATATAAATTCTAGGTTTTAATAATGTCCTCCATTATAGATTTTTAAGATGATACATCTACTTCTATTGATGTGACAGCAGATATGAATGAGAATCTTTTACCATTTCATAATTTACGTAAGTATTTTACTTTATGTGAAATGGATGGAAATAACCATACAATGATCTATGCAAAAACAAAATATCTTCTTCAAAGATTAGCAGTTCAAACCTAAAGAGGCATTTAGAAGTAATAAATTCTTTAAATACAATTTTTATTATTTGTGAAGATCATAACAATATGCATATAATAAAAATTATAGATTTCCTTCACTATATGATGACAGCAATATATTGGCATCAATAATTCACACAAAAGTTAAGCTCAATTGGCCTTTTATTAATCTGCCACAAAAGTTGCTAAAAGAAAGTTTAATTGCCCATTAAAAAAATATACAGGGTCAACCATACGCAGATCCTTCAAATGAATGCATGGATCGATACCTTTTTTGGGGAAAACCCCGTCACAAAATGCTTTTTCCATTAATAATTTTTTTTATTCTAATGATGATTTAGTGAATATTTTTAATAATTATGTTAATTAAAAAAAACATTGATTGAACCTTTACCATAAGCGCTCCTATGGTAATGGAAAACGTGGCTGTTTAAATGATGATAATTTAGAAAATTTTAATTAAAGGCTAATTTGATTATAAAATATATTCTAATTGTTATACTTATATTATATTATTCAATTACAATAAATTTATACCATATTTATTTATTTTTTATATTAGTTATTTTTGCATCGATCAGAAATTTAAATAAGAAAAGGATCGTGATCGCGATCCTCTTTTTAAAAAAAGGTCGATCCTGGATTTCGATCCTCTTTTTTTCAAGAGATCGTGATCGGGATTCGATCTTTTTAAAAGGATCGATTAACAAGCCTGGATATAACCTAGGTAACAAAATTTCCCCCATTCTCCGAAGTATCATTGTTTCCTATATTCAATTAATACAAATCTGAGCCAACATACTGCACGCTGTCACGTTATCTGACAAAGATTCGAGGATTATTTTTCCATAAATGGATATATGTGGGGTGTTACTTTGAGAAAGAAGGATTACCATATGTTGATTTGTAAGTAGCAGGAGAAAACCCTTAGAGAGATTAAAATAATATGAGGAGATTGGCATGAAAAATGGTTTTACCAATAAAGATGTCCAAGATCGCCAAAAAGGATAATTTTATTTGTATTCCAATCTTAATTTCACTAAGCAATAAAACTAGAGCATTTGAATATTTAAAGACGCCTTGACCAAACAAAAATTCGAAATTTGAAACATAAATATTTCTGTTCTTTTTAAAGATTTTCCCAACTACAAATCTGTTGGCTTTATAAAATAATGTATTGATTATTTTTACTTTCTTATTTTTTGTTATCTATAATCCCCATCCATTCCCCCCCCCCTTTTACCCTTGGAAAATAATGGAATGGACGTCAAGGCTGGGGAGATGGAAAGGAGATTTATATTGTAATCGTTAAGAAAATAAGTTAAGATGCGAGATCAGTCAAAGCGAAAGATATAATTTTTTGATTTTTACCCTCTTAGAGCGTGAATAAAAAATTATTAAGAAAGAAGATACATTATAATAGCATTGTTATTATTTATATTGCTACCTTTTTATTTTTAATAAACATGTTTAAAAAATATATCTATTTAATGAAACGAAATTATTTTTTTTTGGTATTATGACATTTTAAAAAATATTCCGTGTCCATGACCATATTTTTTTTGACAAATATCTAAATAATGACGAGAGAAATTACCGTAGCTACAACACTATAATAAAATTATTCAAATAATTTTTTATTTATTATAATTTTTTTAAATTTTGAAATTCACTATTCTTGGGAACAAAGATATAAAAATAATTCGAAAAAGAAAGGGTAAGTTGTATAATAGTTTCAAAGGTTTCCGAAATATTATAACAAAAATTGGTATTTATTATAATAATAAAAGTTACATTCATTAGATATTTTTAAAAAGTAAGGTTAAGAGTCAACTTGATTGTTCATATGTTTAGTGTAAGTTAAATAAATTAAATAAGGGATAAACCCCACCATTTAAAAATATTTAAAAAAATTTACAATGCTAATTTCAATCCATTATAAAATAAATAAATTTTCAGAACTGGTTAATAGGTAAGAAGCGCTCAAAATATAAACCCCTATATCAAAATAGAGGTTAAAAAATTATTGTTACTAAAATTATTTATCTACTTAATATAATCGAACAAAATTATAATGACAGCAGTAAATTGAAAAAAAATTATAATTAGGTAAGAATAAATTTATTATCAGAATGGTCTTCACCGATCTCTTAACCAAATTGGAAACATATGGGGAATTACAAAGAGAAAATTATCATAGCATAATAATCATTGTACAAAGACAGATTTTCAGAATAATATTCAACAGTAAAAAAAATAGCTTCAAAGACTTGTCAACTTATCAATTCTAATTTAGTTGGAATAACTGGGAACAATCTAAATTTTAAATCTTGTGATAGTTTATATAAATCTATGTTGTAACGTTTTCTATTATTATAACATACCCCCCCCCCCCAACTCTTTAAAATACAATCCTTATATGCTTAGAGAAAATAAGATACAGTTTAATTTTATACATAAACGATTCTATATAGTGAATTAAGTCCATCTCTTTTTTAATTTCAATATTATATGTCATGAAAATTGAAGTCATTTTTATTTATCGAGAGAGTGGTAATATAACAAGAGTCATTTTATTGAATGTTAATTCAGAAATCTTAACTAAATATTACAAGAAGATCTTTGTGATTTCCCTATTTCATCTAGAATAAAGAAAAACTTTAAGATTATTTTATTGTATAGTATCTTCAAATGGTATAAATATTTTAACTGAGTTTCCCCCAAATCAGTTGAAAAATTACCATATAATAATAACAAATATATTTATAATGAAATTTTCTAACATATATAGGAAAGAATTTAGAATTGAATTAAGACCTATATTGCTGGGTTACCTTATCTGCTTTATAGTATATCCAAATCATTCGACTTTATAATATATTCGATCTATTCAATTTAAAAAAATTACATCTAGCATTAATTTTTTTTTATAGGGTAAAAAGCTCGAAAACATGAGTGAAATATTAAAATAGAATATATACTTTGTACACTAGAGGGAATCGTACTAATGCTGTAAGTGTTGAAACTCGAGAAGGATACAATTTGCAATACCCAAAAAATTTGTAACCAAAATATATGCTTTTTATACGCCACAATTTTTAATATGTTTTTTCCAATTCTCAATATAATTGAATAAACCATAATTAAATCTAATTTCAATTTTTTTTTTAGAATATCTATTTAAAATTACTAAATTTAAGTTTCAATTTAAAAAAAAATTACCCCTATTAGAATAGTCAGATTTTTATTATCTTGCTTAATTGCTTTAAAATATGATTAACATAAAATAAAATATTTTTTTTAAAACCCGAGAAACCAAAATTTTCCTTTTCCTCAATAAAATTAAATAAAACTGATTATGTTGGTAATTGATTCTTGAGAAGAATATTTAATATAAGTTCTAAAAAATTAAATTGTTAAATTTTTTACTTTTGTTGTTAATTTTGATATATCTATCTACCCAGCATTAAAATTAATAATTTTTTTCTTTTTTGAATTTTAAGCATAGTTTTTTTTTCATATAACCTTGTCAAATGTGTTAATTTAAAAAAAAAAATTATAATAGATTTTAATATTAATTTTTCGAGAGTTATAAAATAAATTTTAATATTAAATTTAAATGTTATATGAGAATTACATGCACAATAAAACTTAGAAGCACAAAATGCTGAATAAAATATGATTGATTATTTAATAAAGAATTTGCATAATTTGTCCAAAAATTAAAAATTAGAGAGAAAAAATTGTATAAACAAATAGGATTAAGGTCTTTTAAATCGCCTCTCACATTTTCACTAGATACATTTAACAATTTATTTCTAGGAAATTTATCGATTTATTATACAATAATTGTGTCCTGTTACTGTTATCAAGTAAATTTTCAATGTTAAATACCAAATTAATAATAAAAAAATGTAAACTGTTTTGTATTAATTTCAATGTTAAGGTCACTGAAAATAATTATTTTCAAATAAAATTTGGAGAATTTCGATAATATTTTTCTAAAATTATTTTATTTAAATTTTATATATATTAGTTAAATTATTGTTTATAATTTAAATTTAATTTTTTAAAGCTTAATTTTTTTTTTGGTATAAAAACTTTACTTAAAAAATTTAAAAATCAATAAAAAATAATAAAGCGTAAATTGCAAACTATTCAAAGGTATGACGATTTTAATGCACTGTATAGAGGATAAAATTAAAAGGATTTTGATATTTTCTTATATGTAATTCTGAATTTTAATTGATATAATTGGATAATTCCAGGAAGAAAAACATCAGGGAGAAAATTCACGAAAAAATTACTGGAAAAAAAACCTTGGAAAATTTGTTAATGAATATGAGTCTAACAATAGCTAGCATATAAACTCATCCTATAGCCCACTAGCCTTAGTCCATACCTGAATGATAAATTTTGTCACAATTTCAAGTTCTTTTCAGAACAATTATTAATTTAATCTGAGCATCTCAAATGGACTAACTCTCCTAGATAGCCACCCTGGTTCAAATCAAACATTAGAAAATATCTAGATTTAATAGCATCATATCAAGCCTTAGGGTTTGAAAATTAACTAGATACTCATAGCTGCGATTTTACCGAAGGGAATAATTTCGTTTAATATCAAATTCCGCTAAAATTTATATTCATTGATATAATAATTCGACCCTAACTATTTATACAGATTGGCACTAGACTAAATAAGGCCTTAGCCTATATATCCATTTTATATAAATTAAGTAGATATTTAAGGCTTAAACATTAATGTTAAAATATTGAATAACCTCCCTGAGAGTTTCTCTTCCAAAATTATATTCCTTGTGTCCTCCCGAGCCTATTGGAAACTTGACCCATTTTTACTCCCTATCCCAAACTCTGCTCAACACTAAATTATTTTAAACCAATCATCTTTAAATTATGGCACCTTTAAATTTGGAAAAATAATTGAGATAAAATTATAAGAAAACTCCACAGGATAACAAAATTTGTTGAAAGCGGTCATAAATTAATTTTGAAAAAAACTTTATAAATGAACATTTTATCACTCATCCATCAGTCAAAGGTCACACTGAGAAAGTGAAAAATTAGGGAAAACAAATACAAAACATGAGTCATGTTGTTAAACGGTACGATTTGGGCCAATTTTTAAATATGGCTACCTCATATATTAAACTGGAAAATTTGCCTAAATTTTGAGATTGGCTAATAGATACCCAAATCTTTAGACTGACATAGTATTTTCCTCGATAAAATATTGAGTTAGTCATTTTTAAAAATCGGCTCAAATCGAGCCGTTTACCAACGCTAAACATGAGCCTACATAAAATTAATTTTTAATTATTTTCTTTACAATTAAAAAGTATCAAAATATTAAAAAATATAATTTTCCCGCTTTGTTTTTAGATTAAAATTATAGATTTTTGCATAATCCTTTTAGGGTAAAAGTGAGAAAAGTCAGGAGTTTTGATAAAAAAAATATTTCGTAATTTTGTGGTATACTAAAATTATTTGATTTCAATTTATATCATTGAATATATTATATAATAATTGAAGTTTAACACCACTGCTGAATTATATTGAAAATTATTGATTAAAAAATTTATTTACAAAGTAACTTGCAATTAATTACTTTTGCAATAATGTAGACACTAACTTAACGGGTTACTTTTTAAGAATGTAACTAGCAACGGTAACTACTCACTTTCCAAAAATAACTTTTAGCAAGACCAATTGTTACCTATTATTATTCTCTATAATACATATACTTACAAAAATTTTTTAATTAATTTTTTCCTTAAAAACAACACTTTTTATAACATTAATTATTGTGCTATATACATATATTATATCCAATAAATATTTATTACATAATTTTTCTATACCCCCATCTTACGACTTTCAATTTAATGGATATTTAAAGCTGAATAGTCAGTCTAGGCTATATTAATATCAGTGGGTAAAAGCCTCAAGAATTAAAATAAGGAAAGATTCTAATGAATAGGATTTGACCTTATTATGTTATAAATATTATAATGAAATTAAAATATTATTTTTAAATATTTTTTATTCTATTTTTCTTTTTAAAGCTATAATTTGTTAAATTTTGAAATATCCAGTAGTAACACTATTGGGGGAAGATGCATAGGGGCTCAAAAATTTAAATTTTTAAATCATTTTATAAATAATTTTAAAAAAAACTTTTGAGCCCCGTGAGATTGTAAAGGCTAGAAATATAATTAAATTTGCTTAAAAAAACCATAGGAAAATTGTATATTCTATTAAATGAAAATTAAAATAGGTGAAGAAATTTCATCTTATTTCATAATTCATTTTCTCAAAACTTCAGAATGATTTCAGCAAAATGTTTCGACATTCGTTTATCATGCCTCTTGTATTATTTTACAATAAAATACTCGGTAATTATGATTTTCGCCATAAATTTGGAATGCCAGCTCATTTCCAAGGACGAGGTTGTCAAGGCGGTTAAGGATGGTGTGAAGTATTATAATGACTTAGAACGTGAGTGGTCCAGAGGAACCTACGATTTGGGTAAAATAATATACACCTATTATTATAATATGCAAACTGGCGCTTTAGGGAATTAAAATTAAATCCGAGATAAAAATGCTTAAAAAAATCAAGAAATCGTAATAAACTAGAACTTATCATATTCATACACTTATAATATACATAGACTGATCAAAGGCAATATAGAAGATAATAGTTTCCCCTATTTCGGGTTATTAGTATCAAAAAAGGTATATGTAAGTGATCATTGTTACGATATCCTAAATAGGTCAAACGAATAGCTTCTAATCAGTTTACGCGAATGTATTAATGCAAAAATATTATTGAGAATGTATTACCGCAAAAGCATTATCGTTAATTCATATTAGATATTGTATTACAATGAAAACATTAATGAGAATGCATTATGGGAAAATATTATGACGAATACTTTTTTTTGCCTATATCTTTCCGCAAGTATTATTGTAAATCCAATATCGTGAATGCATCATCGCAAATGAATTACAGCAATTATTAGCCAGACCAAGGGATTTAAAATGGGCCTGAATAGGGCTCAGGCCTAATAACAGTTTTAAAAATAAAGTCGGGCCTTAGCCTTCTTTTTTTATAACTGAAAATATATTGCAATTCAAGCAATAAAATAAAATGATTTTTCTGGTTTAGGTTAAAACAATTAAATTTTTATTTTATTTTATTGCATAAAAAATGTGTTTAAATATATTTTCCAAATGAAACTTGGACAGGCAGAGGACAGGCCTAGAATAAAAAATCGCCATGCCTAAAAATAAAATAAATTTTGGGTTGTACTCGGACCAAAATGAACAAGACGAAGATCGATCCTTATCGCAGAGGCGCAGATAGATAGTACTTCGGATAATTTTTAGATATAAAGTAGAATCTTATTATTTGGGTGTTTTGAGAGTATGATATAGGGAGAGGGCTGTATTAGTATAAGGAAATAAGGAAGGATTAGTATTTTTAAAAAAAAATTCAATATTTATCTAAATAAGCTAAGCATCCTTTTATAAATTGAACATGTATCAAAGCACAGTTAAATTCAAAATATCTTCTCCTCTCAAATAAATTTATTTTATAAATCTTTATGTTTTATCGTCTCTTAATTTAGACAATATTTTGATAATAGATTTGTATATAAGTATTTTTATCGCTTAATCAAAAAGATAGGCCCAAAGCTCACCACAACAGAATAAGAAAAAGTATATAGCATCATAATAAATTGAATACCTTATTTCTCTTATCTTAATTCATGTAATCGCTGATGATTAAATTGAAAACTTGCAATTATCTCGATAAATTATATCTAAAGGTGACTCAGGAATTGAGAAAAAGAAACGATTTATTTATTCTTGTGGTAATTTGAAAAAAAAATCCCTAAAAAGAATATTTGATGGCTTATTGAGAGGTCAAAAATATAAATGCCTGAATTTTCAATTGGCAACAACAGTGCTCGCAGTCCCTCCTCTAACTTTAAATTAAAAGGGTGTTTTCTACATTAAAGTTTATTTTATTCTCACAACGCTTGAAAATAAATTACAACCTTTGGAAAAGGTGTATTTACACTTTACACATTCTAATCATATTTTTTTGCCAATTAACTTAAAGATGTATTTATTTTCTATTATGAAAACTACAAGAATTTATATATTGTTGTATGTTATTTAAAATTCTTGAAAAATATATTTTACGTTTTTTATGTAGTGCAATTCTGTATTTTTTAATTTTTAATATAAAGAAAATAAATTCTAAACCGTAATTGACCTTTATATATTTTTTTTGAAACCGTAGCCTTTATTTTTTATAGACCTAAACCATAACCAAATTTTTGAAATATTTGTAGTGTATTATAGTCCACGTTATACTTTTACATTCCAACATTCATTCATTTAATCTAATCAGGTTTTAGGTTCCTGTTCCTACCGATTCCTTTTTCTACCTTAAGGAAAGACAGAATTTTACATTAAATATTTAACTACTCCTTAAAAAATATAGTTTAGTTAAAAAATGCAAAACCCATTGCATATCAAAATTAAAAATAAAGAACTCAACAGAATTTGTTGTCATAAGATAAATTTATAAAACATGATATAGCATGATCTCCTCTTCTGTACCCTTTGAAGTGTGATTTTAAGGTATAATTTCCGTAGTAGCTAACTATTAATTTGGTTTTCCTATTCATATTGAAAGACAAATAATTTAATTTTAAATCATATTTCATCTGACTTTTTCAAAATTGATTGGATATTAGAGATCTTTGCAAAGTTAGGCCCGGCCCGTCCCCGGCCCGGGCCTAATTCTATTTGAAATAATCCGGTTTGGGCCGGGCCGGGCCTAATATTTTTAAAAAAATTTCGGGCCGGGTCGGGTCGGACCTTGGGAATTTTATTAAATATATCTAAATTTATCAATTTTATATTGAATTTTTTATGTAAAATAAAAATTTTTGATTTAATTTATTGAAACTAAAACGCTATATAACATATGTCATTTATTTTAAGTAATTATAAAAATTAATTTCTTATTTAAATAAATTCGGGCCTGGCCGGGCCGGTAAATTTTTTAAAAAAAATTCAGGCCGGGCTTGAAAAATTAGGCCCGATGCAGATCACTATTGGATATATTTATAATTATAGATCTTTCATTATTGCATTCTATATTAGTAGCCATATTAGTGGTATATCTAGGGAGGGGAGAAAAGAATGTTCTTATCAAACTTTTTCTCCTTTTTTACTTTTATAGACTTTGATAATAAAGGGAAATGTAAAATATTATAATTATATCATAATCTTACTTCGCCGAGAACTCGCGTTAAATGTGATTGCAGGGTAACGCGTTGTAATAACGTTGTTATTTACTAAGTGATGTTTTCAATTGTATTATAGTGAGAATAAATTATTTTAAAATGTAATTGCTGTAGCAGCCCTTTGTCGCAAGCGAAAAAAAAAGATTCTCTGAGTTTGATCGGTCTTTTTGCAGATCCACCCATTTATCTAGTTCTTTTTAAAAAATTAGACCTTGGTTTGAATCAGAGTTTAAACTGCTTTTCAAAATAAAAAAATTTTTTTAATGAAAATTTCTTTTTAGAATTGCTAAAAAGAGTAATAAATCTTTGTTATAAAAAATCTTTTGTAACTAAATATTTTGTGATTGTATGCACAAAAAATCTTTCTTGATAAAATCATAAATTTTTTAAAGATAATTTTGATTTTCTTAAAAAAAAAATTTTAATTTTGGTTATTTTTGTGATAAGATTTTTTTCTCAAAATTTGGGCGAAAAGATGATCATATTTGTTTTTTCATATTCTAATTAGAAAGCAAGTGACTGTTTGTATAAATTTTTTAGAGAAAAAAATGTGCGGTAAAAAAAATATTATGGATTCCTAAATAACTAAATATGATAGTTTCAGAAATATCTCAAAAATAAAAATATATTAATTGATGAACCATATTACTTAATAGATATAATGTACAAATAGCAAAGGAATTTTAATACTTTACATTAGTTATATAAACCATTTGTCGAGTATAAATAAATCACGATATTATATTTCCGGCAATATTTTATGATATTGCATTCACTGGTATTCATTTCACGATAATGCATTCTAACTCATTCGCGATAATGTTATCGCGGTAATATATTTGCTATAAAGCTTTTAGGCTAATAAATTTATTGTATTGGATTGGCGATAATATTGGTAATACATTCGATATAATGCATTGGTGATAATGTTTTGGCCAAAATACATTCGCGATTTTCGATTATCAAAATATTTTAATCAAATTCATAATCTTCTAATTCAAAAATATTAATATTACTATATATTTCTATTCTAGTTATGCTTAAAGTTATTTTTAAATGGAAAATTTAAATCAATTTTTTTGTATTATGTAAATAATATGATTAAATTATAAATATAGACTAGAACTAACTTTGAAAAAGATTAATCCATTTGTTAATTTTTTTTAAATTATTTATTGCCTCTAAAATTACAAAATGGAGAAATGATATAACAATGTAATAATAATAAAACTATACAATATTATTTAAAAGAATAAATCTCAATTTTGTCTATACATTATACTCAAAATCTTATTATCTTAAATTTTTGGAGTGTTTTAAAATTTTATCATCTTTGTTTGTGTGTTATTGATAGGGTAAATATTTTTGCATAATTTGTCATGAATAGAAAACAGCCAATTGTATCTTTCTTAAAATATCAATTACAATGTTATTCCAACTAGAATACAAATGTTTGATGTAGTATTGTTAAACTGCCCAATTAATATTTTAGCCCAAACAATATTATATAAGCCTGGAATAAGTGGTAGAAAAGTTTGGACCTCCATTTACCAAATCTTGAGGCTCCCATAATATTATTTTGGCTAAATCTTAATTGGGTCATTTTAACAATACTAGTTTAATGTAAAAAATAAATTTTTTTAAAAAATTTATAGGATAGAAATTTCCTCCCTCCAAGATAAATTTATATATTTTGTTTTTTTAAATGATTAATATATTTTCGATAAATTTTAAGGTTCTATCTTTAGAACTTTTTTTAACTTTATAGGAATCTATTATTCTAATTTGATCAAATTTTGCTAAGCTTATTATCATCCTTATTAGAGAATCATTTTAAATCATATAAACAGGTCTATATACAGTAATTTATAATTCAAAGAATCACGTATAGAAAATAGATCATTTTTGTTTAAGATTCCCCAAAAATGATAGCCTTTATGATTGTAGCAAAAGAATGTATAAAAGTATTAAGGGCTCTGTCATTAGCCATGACTAAATAAATTTATATTTACCCTAATGCGAAAAATATTATTTTTACATTAGAATTAAATTAGAAGAGATAATTTACTCTTTCTTGGATATATATATATATATTGTTTGAATACCCCTGTGTATATTTATGAACGGGCTTTTATAAGGTTTTGCCCTACCAGGAATAATATTCTATACAGGTTTCTCAGCTCATCTAGTGAAGTGTTTTTATGCAAGTTGTCCAAGTCCCTAATAATTTTTGAATGCAAGAAAAAACATTAATTACATTAGCCCATAATTCTATGCTTAATATTCTTTGCGAAATTCCCGCCCAGTTTCCGGCCCGATCCGAAAAAAAATTTTGTTCAAATTACCGCTCTTTCACGTTTGGCCGTGAAGATATCAAATTCTAATTTATGTTTTGCCTTATTTGTTTTCTTATTGTAATTTCCATTTTTTTTAAAAAAATTTTTAAAGTCGTCGAAGCTCCTCATTTGACAGGTTATTATAGACCTCCTACAAACAGATTCGTTAAATATTCGAAATATGCTATCATAAAAGAATACGCATCCTTGCAAATAGCCGAAAAATTAATGTAAAATCAAAATATGGATCAATATGTTATTTCTTAAAGATTAACTTAGGATTGTATTGTGATACAATTCACAGATTTCTTTTAGAGAGTTGGCTCAAATCACGTGTGAGATAGTGAAAAATTAAATTAAAGGTTTTTTTAAAATTTACAACATTATTATGATTATAGATTTAATTCTATCAAATTGTATAATGCGTATTCCTAAATAGATAACAGAGCTTCTTGGCTCTGAAGAAATTAAATAATGTATAATAATATCATTATATTTTTTTGTAAAACTTTTGATATATGGCACAATATTAGGTTTATTAGACCTTCAATGTACACATCATCTAATAAAATGGCATATAATTACTATCAAGCCTACAATATTATATTAAAATAATTTAATCGAAATCCTTAAGGATTTCTTAGGCTTTAAAGGAAAAATTAGTTAAATAAATTTTTAATCGATAGAATTCTAGTTAATTATGGTCGAATTTGAATTTTTCGAATAAAATATTTATAAACAGTGATGACTCTACTCTTTCAAATTTTATAGCCCTTTAATTAATTTTTTTACAGAAAAATGAAATTAACTAATAAACCAACCTACTAAGTGCTTTGTAAGAAAGAATTCATAAATTTTAGATAGAATATATATTTTCATTTATAAATAAATGTTTTTTTCTTTACCCTTTTAAGATGATACCTCCACTATACAAAAAAACCACTAAATTCCCACGGCAATTTTAACAATTTAGAGGAATTAAACATAAACTGAGAAAAAGCCCTAATATACTAAATTCACATGTTTTAATATCATGTTTAAACAAATGAAAATTGATACCTACCCTTTCTACTAACCTTCAAATAAATAAAAATTGGGGAAAAATATTCTGAATATGAAAATTTTGGCCCATTTATTTATATAAGTAACGGTAAAAAAATGAGTATTTACACTATTTTTCAAAATATAAAAGAAAGATAAATATTTAAAAAAAACTCCGAATGGTAGGCGGATACCGAAGCGAGACATTTATATTTATAAAATTTTAATTACAATTTAAGCAAAAGATGGCTATGAAATCTTACACCACCTCAAAGTTTCTCAAACTCATTTAAATTTAATTAAGAAAACTTTTACACCTTTTAGTATTTATATATATGAAAATATAGTGACTATCTCTGAAAAATCAAATTTAATTTTCAATCTTTTATCATTAGAAAAATTAACATTTATTTTTATATTCCACACAAAGACAGCTAAATTACAGTCCTCAAGAAATAACACGCTACTTGGAAAGGGTTGACGTGTCTGGAACCTTCTTAGACTCCTGCCCCTTAAGAAAAGAGATAGCCAATAGAGGAAGCTGTCCCATATATTACAGGACAATAGAAGGGCATTGCAATAACCTCAAACATCCAACTTGGGGAATGGCGGAATTGCCGCCCCAGAGATTGCTTCCCGCTGTTTACAACGATGGTTTTATTTTAGATATTACCTTTAATTATTTATTATATAAAAGTATTATATCCCGTTTTGATAAAAGTTTTTTTTCTCAAGATAGATAAGCTTATTTTGGGTTTTTGTGGATTGTATGACTAGCGGTATATTTTAAAACTAACCATATGGTTTCTATTTTGTTAATATATTATCATATGGACGTCTTTATTAATTATAACAAAGTATTGATTCATTAATATCGCACGATAAAATATCTCCTATCTTTTAAGGTGGCGTTAAAATATTTAAATAAAAAAACGTTTTTCAAAATGATGCCTACAAAACTATTAGAAAAGTATAATTATTTGACTAATTCAGATAAAATAAATATGAAAAAAATAAAGTCGTCACTCAAGGAAATTGACATTAGCACACCTGATTTATTTAAATGTATTGTTTATAATCACATGACCTCGCAGATTTAACAGTAGTGCCCTAATTTATTGTTTATATACACATGACCTAAAAAAAGTAATGGGCTATCGCTAAAGCTACAAAAATTAACGCGTTGATTTAACAACACTGATAGAAGGTCTCAGAAAAAATATAAGAATCAAAATGGTTATTTGAAATATTTATATTATATAGTAAGAATTTAAAGATAGTTTTTATCATCGATATTAGTTTAATTTCTTTTTTCGGTCATATTTTAAGCGATTTATTAATTGTTACTAAAAACATTAAAAATAAGGTGTCAGCGAAATCAGGAGAGCTAAAAATGGTGGCGAATTACCAAATGCAAGAATGATAAGTACATTATGCTTGCCTACGCAGTTTCTACCCCATACAGAGCTAACTGTCATGATGACAACTTTTGGTCAACTTATAGACCATGATTTAACATTGTTTCCCGTGCCTACAGGTCTATATTTATAATAACAATTAAAAATAAAGTTGTCAGCTATATGATTCCTCCGTATATTACGTAGGCAGAAAAATTTTTATATTTAATTTTACACTTGTTGCTTTGTCCAATGACCTCTTAGTCAACGTATAATTTTAGAATCGTTTATAAATGAGGTAAAAACTTTTGAAAATTATTTGGATATTTTTGGATCTGGTATATCTATTATAATCAATTTTCTAAATTATTTTTAACTAGAGACAAAAAAAGAAAAATATTTTTGCTCAAAAGAGGACATTTTTTATAAAGCCACGTGGGCCCTATAAAGATATTTGTTCTATCTAAAATTGAGGTTATGAACAATATCTGTTTTAACCTACCTGTTATTTAGTCCCAATATCTTTTACTATTTAATAACCTAAATAATTGAATATTTATAAAAGAATATCTATATTTAAAAAGGTTTTAAATACCCTAGATTAAAGTGTTGTTTAGATGAGAAGAAACATAATCCAAAAGATCGAGAATCTAGAAAAAAAATGCATCCATATTGTTATGGCTTGAATTTACCCGTTGATGACCCGTTTTATAGTTATTATGGAGTCCGATGTATGGAAGCGGTAAGATCTTTGCCTGGAGTTGGTCTTTCTTGCAATTTAGGTATATATTATAGAGCCCTGAATAAGATTAGATTTTATTTTAGGAAATGTGGCATGAATGGCCATGTTTTTGCTTTTTTGAAAAAAAGGTATTAAAATTTATGTTTAACCAAACAAATTTTATATCAATGTGTAGCCTAAATATTAATCTTTAAAATAAAATTAGAATCAAAGCTATATGTCTAATAGTTTATGAGCTAGATGAGATTATGTGAAAGTTGTTTTTCTGGCCAGTCAAAACATAGTATGTATTGACTGGCCATATACTATGTGTTAATTGGCCATAATATATTATTTAAGAATTTTATTGTAAATATAAAATAATACAATATGAAATACTTGTAAAAGACTTATATTGATATTTCTACATTTTTTAGTTATATAAAAAATTAATTATACACTAATTTAATTAGTATTAAAATCTCAATTTATTACCGCATCTATTTAATGATAATATTATAAATTAATATCTTAATTATCATTTTACTAAACATTCTTAAGCTTGTTCATCATTTTATTTCACCAAATGTTGTTTTGCAAGAGCTTTTTATTTTAATATGAATATGTGAATGAGTATTATTATTAAACGCCTTATATGTCTATTAAATAAAGCTTTTAAAGTCTAATTTTTTGTGTGAAAAATGCTAAATGCCTAATGATAATATATATATAAAATATCAATAATCTAAATTAGTAATATTTTCACCAAACAAAAAAATGTGTAAGGTGATTTTTCCAGAAAGAGGTACTAAAAACAGTTTATTTGAAATATTTTTTTATTGAATTGCTATATTCAATAAATGAACTTAGGTAAGGTACATATCATAAATAAACACATTTTGACAAAAGTTAAAGGGTGGTGGCCAGTCCTCAACCATGGCCGTTTATGGCACATTTCCCCTATATTATTTAGGTGGAATTAATTTAAGATGATTAAATAACTGGAATTATGTCAGCCTTTTTTTTAATAAACTAGATCGGTTGTTATTCTCCTTTTTTTTTATGATTGAAGCAAATAAAGTCATTTTTAAAGAAAGATTAGACATAAACAATACTTATTAAATTGGAGTTTTTTTTTACTGAATCTCAACTAGAAAGTCAAATATATTTAAAATATTTAGAAAGCTTAAAGATCTTTTAAAACCGTAAAATCCAAATTATCGATAAGCATTTTTTTTAAATAAAAGGTGTAAGGGAACAGGTCAATCAATTGTCGAATTACATCGATGCGTCAACAGTCTACGGAAACACAATCAAGGAAGCCGAAAATGTTCGACTTTACCAAAATGGTATAATTAATATTTATTTTAAATTCTTGTAAAAAAAACAAATTTTGAAACTTTTTTATATAAATTTAAATAAAATATTTGAAGATATAGTCAGGGAATCCGAGCCATAATAAATATCGGTTAGTAAGAATTAATAAATGAACCTTTAAAAACAAATCTGAACTTTCGTAATCAAATTTTCTTTAGAATTGTATTGATATAAGCATATCAAATTATTTATAATTATGCATAAAGCAACGAATGTCTATTTTATTTAATGCATAAGGAAATACAAATGACGCTTATACAATTAAAATATTTGTAAGTGTCTCCTAATCAAATTATATCTTTAATGGAAACTATAATGTTTTTTTTTAAATATGAGAACACTTTTATAAGCTAACCTGGGAGCTGGCACCTTCAGATATTGCAAAAAACATAAAAACGATGACTGATACTCAGGGTTTCGAACCGAACTGAACCAAACCGCCAAATAGGAATGATCCGTTATGATTTTCTGAACCGTAACCTTAACCGAACCGTTATAAAGAAAATATAAAAAGAGAACGGTTTTAAAAAATAATTAATTTTAAATTATTAACCTAAATTTGAAATTTAATTTTTCGTGGGCATTTTTTAAATTGGTGATTTCTTATCAAATTAAATATTTTTATATTATCAACATTATATATCAATCAATACCAAGTTTATTGTTTTTTTCTTAAAATACTTATTTTATTAGAGATTAGGCAAATTATCTGTTAATTAGATAAGATATCTTAAAATCACACATAATTATTCTTGGCTAAATTAACAAGTTTATATATATAAGTTATTAATAAGCTTTTATAATAATTACTTGCTAATAATTTAGGAAAAATTAAATAATTCTACTATCAATAACTAACATCTAATAGAAATCAAATACTTTTTACATTCATTTTTATAGTTTATTTTTTATCTCATTATAAAAACTTGGATCATAGAATTTAAATGACAATAAATAAAATGGTCAGCAATATTTTAATGATATAATAATTTTTTATTTATAATCATATTATTTTTTTAAATTCAGAATTCTAATTTTCATTTAAGTCATTATAAATTATTTATTATTAAAATAATATTTTTAACATTTGAAGAAAGAGAGATCTCCAGAAAACATTTTTGTAAAACTTGGAACTTGATACAAAGTCTAAATAATCAGAATATTGAAATTCTAAATACTATGCCTACATGTTCATATTCGAAAGATAATTTAGATGATGATTTTGAAGATTTATTAAAGTCGCATGAAAGTCTTAATAAGAATAATTCTCAGGGCATAGAAAATTGAAATAGATTATATAATTCGGTCATTTGATAATATAGAGAGATTAGAAAAAGATACTAATCTTTTGAATTATTTTGAAAATGTAAAGAATAGTATGCCAGAACTTTATAAGTTAGCTATAACTGTGCTAGCAGTTCCAGCAACTTAGGTATCCGTAGAAAGAGCATTTTCTAGCCTTAAGTTTATACTCTCTGCGCAGAGAACTAAATTAAATCCTGAAATATTAGAAAATATTTTAGTTATCCGTTAGTATACATTTTATTATATTTATGCGTTATTTTATTCATCATTGTATTTACGCATGTTTGTTTTTATCTTATTTATTTATGAAATAAAAAAAATTAATTTGTCTAATTTATAATTACTAAGCTTAATAAAAATATTATTAGATAATCATGGTTAAATTAAATAAGAAATTATAAATTAAAAAGATTTTTCTCTAAAATTAATATATACATGGTTAATAATTAATGTTTTTTTATGTCTAATTTATAAAAACCGGAACAAACCGAAAAGAACCGTTATAAATTATAAACCTAACCGAACTGATATGAATTTTTTTTAAAAAACCGAAATGGAACAAAACCTTTATAAAAGTTTAAACTAAAAACCGGAACAAACCGAACCGTTATGCTTAACGGTTCGAAAGTGATACTGGACCAGTCTAAATTGACTGATTAGTAAATCTTTATAAAGTTGATAAAAAGATCAAAATCGGTTCACAGATCTTTTTAGAAGTTCGGTATGTCGGGTGACAAATATTTGGATGGTTCAGGTTAGGTTTCGGTAAATAATTTAATATCGGTTTTATAAATAAAATTGTTAAGCAAATATCTTATCTTTCATAAGATAATTTTACAAAAATTAACTTCTAATGAAAACAAAACATAAATAAATTAATTTTATCCCCGAATAAATAAAAATTTAAAAAAAAGAAATAAACCCTCAATGGCAGACAAACTATATTTTAAATAAAATTTTGGATCGAAAAAATGGAAATTGTATTTACGGAAAAATACTTAAAATATTATGTGCCAATAGGGCTCTGCTAAATCACAAATTTTTTTACTAATCTAATTCGATTTGCTATAAAATTGATTATAATCGATACCGATCCAATATTTATATTTATTAATCATCTATTCTTAAATCAATGTTAAATAAAATATTTTTTCCCAAATCAAGATTTTGGTCATTATTATCTAAACCTCGTGATCTTGCCCACAGATGTCCAAATCTTACTGTTATCTGTGAGCAAAATATTTAAACTTGGGTTATTTACTTTTGGCCAAAATTTTGGGTTGTCTGCTTTCAAAAGTCGGCTAGAACAGCCTAACACTTGCTAGATATGACGTGTAAGATTTATTTAAATCCTTTTCTTTTGCATATAATATAGCAAAAATAATATCAAATTTTAGCTTAAACTATAAAATAATTCGATTTTTTTAAAACATTATAAAAATTAAATTTGATTATTTTTATTAATATAAGATTAATATTATTATTGTATATTTATATATACAATTATAAAATAACCCAAAATAAAGTATCGGATCGTAAAGGATCTATTTTTTAAAATACAGGCTCCTATCCGATATTTAATATTGGCACAGCTCAAGTGCTAAAATAATTTAATTTCAAATTAATTAAATTAATTATAAATTTAAAAAAAGTTTTTTAAAAAAAATAAATGATGCAATGCCGAGTTATAAATAATTTTTTTATAAAGGTCTACTCAAGACGCAACGGCATCCATTTGACCCAAGCAAAAAGGATTTAATGCCTTTGTCAAATGGTACTGTGATAGAAGAATGCCTTATTCAGAGCGTTAGGAAGCACCCATGCTTTATGGCAGGTTAATAATAAAATAATATTTAAAATAATATAGTTAATAATTCATTTGAAAGTTAGGTCTTCATTTTCCTTCTTTTCAGTTAGACGTAGGTTCATGTACCTTCAAAAAGTAGAAGAAAGGGATTAAACAATTACTTAAGCAATATGTCATAATATTCGTTAAAAATAGTGTTGTTAAAAGGAAAATCGGCTAACTCAATATTTTAGCAGAAAAATATTACCTAAGTCTTGAGATTTCGTTAATAGACGTCAAAATATCATTTATGTGAAAAATCTTCAGGCTTGCGTAATATCTTATTTAAGTTTGCCTTTTTTTAAAAAATCGGCCTAAAACGAACTGTTTAACAACACCAGTTAAAAAGTAAGAAATAACATTTCATTTATTAAATACATATCTCTCTCTTCAATTTATCAAAGTTAAAAAAAATGATTATGTCATCATTTCATATAATAAACAAATTCAAATATCCCTTTAATATAAATAAAATCACTACAAGAAAATTTGAATTTTCCCTTAGACTCTCTTAAGGACTTAGAAGCAGACTTCCACCCAGCCTAATGATTTCATTTATATTCTATTATTACGATTCCATTAACTCAATCTTTAGTAAATTATTACAGGTGAGAAAGATATAATGACAACATAATCTGATAACTTTTTTTAAAAAAATAAAAAATACTAATAAATATAGTAATATTTTTAATAGGTGAAATGCGAAGCAACGAAAACCTACCATTAACCACTATCCACACAATATTCTTTCGCGAACATAACAGATTAGTACGTGAAATGTCAATCATAAATCCGGATTGGAATGACGATAAATTGTAATTTAAAAAAAACATTTCTTTTAGACTGAAAAGTGGGATTATTTAACAGTTAAGCGATTTCAAATTTTTTTAATGAAAATCAATTTTTTTTTATTAAAATCAATTTTTATTTAATTAAAATCAGATTATTATCATGAATAAAATTAAAAATATAATTAATATTAATAAAGATATTGATCTCATAAACATAAATTAAAAATCGATCAGATGTTTAATCGTGTTAGATCGATCCTACTATGAATCCAGTAAGAATTAAAGGTACATTGGAGCCAACCTAATTCATTTCTTCTCTCTTTTTTCTTTTACTTTTTTTGTTATAAACAAAATGTTTCTCTATCATAGTGTATTTGACAGTGCCCAATATGTTACTTTATAGTTTGATTAATTATATATGTGAAGCGATTTATAAATGTATTTCACACCTTGTGTTTAGAAATTATCAAAAATTTTTCTATAGAAGATATATTATAGTAATTCTCGATTAACGGTCTAAGAATAGGTGGAGATGATACCTAACTTTTTCTTCCCCTATATAAGTTTATTGATAAAAATTTAACATCGATTTACGAAAACTTTTAGAAATTATCATACTAAAATATAAAAGATTAAAATGCATTTGTAACTTTTTATAATATAACAAAATTTAAGATTTGAAGAAGTCAGGAGGATAGTAGGGGCAATGATGCAATACATAGCTTACAAAGAATATTTACCAAAATTTTTTGGTGAGCAAAACCTGGTTAAACATAAACTTGTTTTGGCCGACTCTGGTTATTTTAATGGCTACGATGAGAATGAAGATGCCACTACCATTAATGCCTTCAGCTCTGCTGCCTTTAGGTTCTCTCATTCCTTATTGAAGTATATTTTATAAAAAATAATAGAAATTTTAATTAATATTAAATAAATGAAATAATAATATAATATAACAAGCCCTGTAGATTAGGTTACAAAATAATTCTTTCAAGAGCAGTTTGGGGTTAAACGGCGGACTCTTTTAATATAGATATTTTATATACATTTCCAGAATAAATATAATAGTAATTTTTTAACAATGCGCTTAGCCTATAAATTAAACTCTTTTTCATTCTTTCTTATAATTTCAGAACTTGGGATATAATATTTAGGTCAAAATGGAAATTTAAAAAAAATATAAGGGCAAAAAATACAAAAAAGAGATACATTACAAAAATATGCATGGCAAAATGGTGTGTTTATAAAAATACATATTCTTTTGAAATTTCATTAAAAAGGCTATAAGCGTCTGTTCATTTACTCTGCTTTTAGCCCCAGCCTCTTTAATCTATTTTTTGAGATAATATATTTATATTTTACCAAAAATTCTATTGATAACGAATTTATCTTTTAGTGTTCATGGAAATCTCAAATCATTGAACACATAAATTTTTTTAAAAACACTTTAATACCGTGAGGGTGATCGATCCTAAAAATATTAGTAATATATTTCCTTCCTTTTCATTTTTTTCTATCCATATCACAATTTAAAATGAATTTATAAAATAAGAAAACTTTTTTTAAAAAAATAAGGAGGTAGGAAAGATTTAGGGGAGACTATGGCTATTCGAACATTTTTACGAAATCGGCTAGAACTCCTGTGTTTTTTTTAGATATTATAAAAAACAATATATGAATAGTTGCTTATAAATATATTCTATAATAGAGCCCAGGAAAAGTTATTTTTTCTCTCTAACTTTTTTACCTCGAGTTACGAAAAATCTATTGAGGACTATATTATAAAATGAAAAAAAAAATTAAATTTTCTCTTTCACATATCAATAAAAATATTTTGGTAGTCAAATGAAATAATTTTAAGAAAATATTGCTATAACTAATCATTTATAACCAGTTATTTTTTCTGAAAAAGGGGGAGGAAGAAGTTTATATATTTCAAAAAGGAATAATTTGAATATAATTTTTAAAAATTAGGGTCTCACCATAATTTTCAAAAATTTTTTATGCCATTTTTTAGAAGAATTTGGATTAAACTAGTGAAAAAATATTTTCTGATAGAATAAAATGATCTAACAATATCCTATTTTGATATGATTCTTTACCATTTTTTTAAAAAAAGCGCCAACATATTTCGGGTAGGTCACTTTAATTACCATCTTTCGACCACACCTTTGAGAAAACTATTTTTTCAGCCGGAATCTCTGTATGGAGACATATATCCACATGGAATAGATCCTTTGTTGAGAGGATCGACTAGTCAATTGGCTCAAGCGCTGGATATCAATATAGCCGTGGATGTTAAAAATCATCTGTTTCAACCAGAAGATTTAGATTACGGTAATAATGTCACGTTATCATGTTTTCTTATCGCTTTAAAAATCTCTCTTTCTTATAGGGTTTTAAATAACATATATTTATTTTAAAAAACTTGAAGTTTAAACTTTCTATTTTTTTACATAAAAATTGAAATATTCATTTACCATCCACAGACTATCTAACGACCCCCCCCCCTCCCCCAACCCTCCACCACCATTTGTAAGTAGTAATATTTTAATTTGTTCTTTTATAAACTCTCATCATACCAATTCTTAATATCAAATTTTCTATTTCTACTTTGAATTATCTACTATTTTTTGACATCATGACATTTGCAAATTTTTAACCTGTAAATATCTAATTTATAAAATATTAAATGAAGTATAATTGATATATTTTATCACTAACATATTATAAGGCATGGATCTAATGTCGCTCAATATAATAAGGGCCAGGGATAACGGAATAGCTCCTTACAATGATTGGAGGGAGTATTGCGGAATGGACAGATTAGATAGTTGGGACGACGCCTATGACTACTTTTACCCTGAGGCAGTCTCAAATATGTCTTATGTCTATGGGTTTTGCATTTATATACTTAGTATATCGTCCCATATTAAAATGCAATTTTAGAAATGGTTAAATGTACGTTTTTTTAAAATTTGGTTATTAGGATGTCTTGTAATTTTCATCGATGACTTTAAAATTATAATGCGCATTGTTTTAAAAAAAAATGGAGATAGAACAACATGCTTCCATAGATTTAGTGTGGTTAAAAGGATTTGGGTCAATTTTTTTTTAAATGTTACGATTAAGATTTACAAACGCACTCCCAATTGTGTTTACATTTTATCATAGCTAAATGTCTCGTGCGAAGATATTTATTTTGAGCTCTTTTAAATTTTTATAAAATATCCTTAGATCCCTAGTATGAATTATGGAGTGTAATATTTAATACTGAGGCGTCACTAGAATTTTTTGCAGAGGCTTAAGGGGTATTTTTTTTAAAATGTTTTAACCATATATACCAATATTTATTAAAATTTCTTTGCTTCCAATCTTTTTATAACTTATTAAACGGCATTCCTAAATTTGTTTTCAATTTTTTATTCAAGGAAACCTAATGTAAATGTTTTAAAAATATTCAAAAAAAAATTTGGTTACGTTTCTAATCTATGAAAAAAAAGTTATTTTGTATTTCGATAAAATTTACATTTTTGAATTAAAATTTTTGAACAATAGACTAAAAAATATCTAAAACTGTAATATTTAAAATTCTATTTAATACTATAGAAAAATGTGTATTAATCAAAAATAATATTTTAATTTTATTCTGCACTATATTTTAGGATTGTTAAAAAGTCTGATTCGGGCCGAGTTTTAAAAACGACCCAATTAAGATTTTAGCCAAATTAGTATTATTAAATATAGAAATTTTGCTCATAGATGGTAGAAAGGTTGGATCTCTATTTGCCAAATCTCAAGGAGTACATAAAATTATTTTTTCTAAAATCTTAATCGGATCATTTTTAAAAATAGACCCGAATCGGGCTTTTTAAAAACCCTACATACTCGTATATACAGGAATTATACCGTTATTAGTAAAAAAAATATATCGAGAGAATACAAGATTTTTAATATTTTGTTCACTATGACCTAATAATATTTTAATAAACAGTTAATAATAATCGGACATAATTATCCCGGACTAAAGTTCCCATGAATAAAAATAAGAACAAAAATCTCTTAAAACTTGTATTATTTTTTTTTTCTATTAAATTGATTTTACAATTATTATTTTCAAGGGGCAGATGTGACCCAGATGTTACAGATCTGGAATTAGTTTAATTAAATTAAGTTGTATCATTAAATTTCTAATTGTTTCTTGCCTAATTTAGAAAATGTTGACTAGTTAACTTTTGTCCCTTTGAGGAATAAATGTCTGCATGATTATTTTTCTTGAGTAATTATGTTCGAGAATTTTTGTTTGAGTGAGGGGGGGGGGATTTGGGAATAGAATCAATTTAGTCTAAATTAAGTTTGATTTATTGGGTGTAGATACTTCTAGTACGCAAAAATTACTGAGATATTTTTGAAACTCTCGTAAATTTTATGTATAAACATAATTTAAAATAATAGATATTCATTTTTATTAAAATTCATAAATAATACCTTTTATTAGGTTAAGCTGCATTGTTTTAATGCTTCTAAGTTTAAATCTTGTAATAATTTATTTTAAAATTAAAATATTTTGCAAATTTTAGAAAAGGAAATTTCAAAATAGCATATTCTAGCCAGATTTCAATATTATTATCATTTGTCTCAAAATTCTTCTTGCATGTGTCCTTCTCTATTGGCGACATTATATATTTTAAATCATTGGATTTATAATGCAGCTTTTGAAGTATAAATTTTAAAATTAAGTTAATAAAGATTATAATTTTAATAATTACTTATTAAATTCTAAATAAATTTTATTATTTTTTTATAATATACTATATATTTATTACATTAAATTTTAAAGTAGCAAAGTCGCGCCACTGCTAAGAAGGGGTGCGCTACTGTTATCTCTGTTTTTTTTAAAGTAACGTGCTATTGTTAGCTACCGCTTTACTTTAAAAAAAGTAGTGGACCATAGTAGCATCCTACTTAAATAACTCTGCTCGAACCCCCAATAGCATCCCCCCAGTGAAGCCACTGGCTCAATTTATTAATATTAATTATGTTTGAAGAATTAATTATATAACTGCTAGGTCAAGGTTTAAAATTCCAAGTGACAACTCAATAATAATCTATTTCTATAAAAGAATACTAGGAAATAAAATTTTAATTAGTTGAAGTGCCTATTTCCACGTAACCAGATTGCTTTCTAGTTCTTGACCTATTATTTACAAATTATATAATATTTGCGAATTAATAGCTTTTTGAGAATTTTCAATAAATTTGAAATTTATTCTAGCGATGTAGACGATATTGATTTATGGATAGGCGGGATATCGGAAATGCCGATGGAAGGTGCTTTGATTGGCCCAACCTTCTCTTGCATAGTGGGCATTCAGTTCAGGAAACTCAGGTTTGGCGATAGATTTTGGTTCGAAAATGAATACATTCCCGGCGTTGTTGAATATCCATTTACACCAGGTTTTATGAATTAAAATAATTTTAACTTTATAATAAATCTTGGCATGTTTGTCTTTCTATTACAAATTGTTTTTATAATATAAATATCAAAAACATTTTTATCCATTCTGTAGCTTCTCAATTAGAGATTTGTAATAAAAAATTATTTTATCGGCCCGAGAAAAAAATTAGCCGGGAGGCCGAAAAACCATTAAATCTTTATCGGATTTATATTGCCAAAATTAGATCGGTCAGAAACAATTTTGATATATTAACATAATGTTTCATATTGATTTCATATCACTTTCTCAGTTATTTCGAAATATAATTAGACTTTAATTCTTCATATTTTACTTAAAACATTTATTAAGTTATATTAAATGTGAGGATTTTTATAGGAGTATCCAAGATTTCCCTAAGAGGATACTTATGAGGTTTTGCTTTTACAAATTCGTCCCATATAGCATGTCCGGTTTTAGATCAACTTATAGTACTTATTTACATGAAACCATGTAGATATTCGTTTCATACATATTATATGACTTATTTTATTTTTCATTTTAATTTTCCTATTTTTCTCCCTATTGGCAATTTTTACAATTTTTTTGAATAATATTTAAAAAATATAAAATATATGACAGATAATCTAAGCACTTAAAGATGATACTATTGCGGTGATTTAAATGAAATAATACTATATTATATTTATAATTAGTCCTGTGTGACGATTTCGCAATCGATGGCGGCGGTATTTTTTCATCGGCGTTGTTCGGCGGCAGCGGCACGATATTTATTAAAAAAAGATTTTTTTTAATGAATTTAATTTATAAATCAATGTATTACATTTTTTTTATAATTTATTTAGGCGCTCTTTTTGGGATATTATGTTGACTGAGCAAAATATAGCATTCTTGTTCTAGATTACTAATATTGTTATAATCGTTGCTTGGAAGGGAATGTTTACGAGCTTTACCTATATAAGAAACTTGAATCTCACTCTGTGCATTTCTATTAAGCTAAAAGTTTTAAATGTCTAATTAAAAATTGCAATGATGTTGAATTCGAATTTAAATATTTTTCGCTCTATTAGATTTCATATTTATTTTATACATTAAAAGATATTTAAAAAACATCAAAATAATTAGAGCTGGAATGAAACAAATAAAAAATTTGATTTAGTTTTGACTTTCAAAGTTTTACATAATTAATTTAATAAATTATATATTAAATTTGTACATTAAAAAGATTAGAGCTGACAATAAACAAACTAAAAATATAGTTGTTTTGAACTTTCAAAATAAAGATTAATAAAATAATTTAACAAACCAGTTAATAATTTAAAATCAATAATAATAAACTATAATACTAACCTAAGAGCCATTTTTTATCTCTTCAATTGTTGCTACATCTTGGTGTTGGCTTAAATATTTTTTAGATTTTAAATGGATTTATTATTATTAACTTTTTTCTGATATTATATGAACATTAACTAAGTGCCGAGGTTACTTGTACTTATATTTTTACTAAAACATTTTATTTCATAACTTTATTATAAATTATATATAAATATAAGTTTAAAATAAAAATAAATTACTGTGAAAATGTATTAAGTTTATCAGAATCTTTCTAATCTTTTTTCCCCAATTTTAAGCAAGGTTAACAATAAATATAATCAGCCATTATTTTTACTATTTTTATTCTTCAAAATAAGATTTCCAAAGTACTTCCAGACAAAACTTGCTTTATGATTAGTAGAGAGAATTGTTATTTCATAATTGTATGGGTGTTTTAAACCGTGCAAGTCCATAAAAATAATTAATATGTATTGTTCGTGGAAATAAAATATGATGTAAGAATAAATGTAAATGATATACACTATTCCATTATATCAATAGAATATAATTCATATTTTAATTTTTGTATCATAATAATTTAATATGTAAATTAAACAGCATTCTAAAAATTATACACGCACGGCGCCGCCATAAAAAATTAAACAGCAGCGAACCAGCTCGCTCTGATGATCTCAATCGGCAGATATAAAGCCCCATAAAAATTTCAAGGAATGATAAATTACCTAATTAAATAATTAATGTTTTAATATGAATATATAATTATATTCATAATAATATTTTATGATTTATAAGGATTCTAAGGCACAGTATCCACAGTAGATTTTAGATATCAAACTCGAGGAATCATGCTAACAGGAAAAGGGCTTTAATCGTTAATATTTTTATCTATAAAAAATATATTTCAGCAATGCATTTTTCTTAAACTTTACAATATTTTGATAACAAATATGCTTTTGGTAATGTCAGAAACAGGAGGAAAAATTTAACAATGTATCATATTAAATTTAGATGCCCAACAAAAATTTGGGGTTTACATGTTCACATTCACATTACCAAATAAAAAGTAAACAAAAATATACAAAGGCTGAATCCTTGAACTCTTTAACCTTGTGAGGCTTACCTTGCCATAGAAGAAATTGAATTAATGAAAGATTGAGGCTTAGATGTAATTCATATTATAAATATTATAAGCATTTCCAGCATGTCAAAAATAATCACCAATAAAATAGTTCTCTAGATTTTCAATTTTACATTATAATAAAGGAAAGAATTTAAAGCATCTTCCTAAGGTTAAAAAATAAAATCGACTCGGGTTTCCATGCGAATTATTTTTGCAGGGGTTCTATTTAAATAGGATTTTCTCCCCGGCAATAATTTTCTTATATATTATGTATTTCTATTTCTATTTCCTAATTTAATTTTTTTTTAAATAATATGGCGTGTAAAATAAGAAAAATTTTATTGTGTCTCAAAATTTTTTAATAAAAATATTACTGTAGATATAATTTGTAAATTTCATTAGCTTAAGATTTTATTTTATTTTACTTATATTTTGGTCACTATAGTTATAGGGCCAGCCTAAAACTAAGGTTATTGCCATCCTACCAGATGGTTGTGTCGTTTAAGAGTATAACATTATTATATATCATGTCAAAAATCGTGCGTTGCAAAATAAAACTAAATTGTGTCCATTTACGATATTAATTGCGTTTAATGAAGTTTATTCAAAATAAGTTGTGTTAATTAATGCTTGGCTTGCGGCCAGCCTCATGGTTTTAATATTTGTTATATAAATTTTAAACAAATTTGGTGATATTACATGTAAGTATACATTCATCAAAATCAAATTTCTCTTTAATATTTTTTAGCATTTTATTAATAATTTTATATTTATACAGAACAATTACAGGAAATACGTAAAAGCAGTTTGGCCAAGGTTATATGCCATAACACAGACACATTTTTCAATATTCAGAAGGATGTCTTTTTAACGCCAGGTTTTAGGTATATTCTTTTACCTAAAAAAAATATTAATTAGAAGAAAGGAAGGAATTTGTTAATTTGAGGTTTAAAGTGAAAATGTAAATTTCGAAAATTTTGATAGATCTATAAAAAAGATGAGTTCATCAATTTAATTTATTTTTAAAATCAATCATAGCGCTAAAATTGTGGTAATATGATTGTTTATAAGAAATTGTCTAAATTTCATTATAATATAGATTAGTGATCTGCATTGGGCCTAATGTCTCAAGCCAGACCAGGCCCAAATTTTTCTAGAAAAAATTTGTCCTGCCTTACCCGATCCTAAACGAAAATTTTTTATTTGTCGCGAAAAGCCCGACCCGAAATAAAAATAATTAATTTAAAACCCGACCTTGCCCAAAATTTTTAAAAATATATTAGACCCGACCCAGAACCGAATAGACCGGCCCGAGCCAGGCGTCTAGTCGTAATTTGTAGATCTCTAATAGAAATATATAATCTGTTTATTCCGATACATTCACTTAAATTTAATGCTAATCCGAGCGTTTAAAGGGAAAAATTGAAATATTAAAAATTATAATAGATAAATAATCAATGTAATTTATTTTTAAAGTCAAGAGTATAACTTTAAAATTGAATAATTATCATGATCCATAATTTTAAACGCATAAATTTTATATCATATTCCTTGACTAATATCTCAATAAACTTTTCAAATTATTGCTATAATTATAAATGGGCTTTAAAAAAGTTTATGTTATGACTACTTTGCGACTTATATTAAATACTATATGAATTTAGGTTAAATATTTCTAATTAGAATAATACAGAATTATTTCATGAATAAAATTATTTTTAGGAATCCAATGATGTCTTGCAGAACTATTGGGGATATAGATCTCACTTATTGGAAAGATAACTGAATTATTAAAAAAATTGACTCTCGAATAAGATTCACATGATCTATCTTTTCAATGCGATATTCATGGAATTAGAAATTTTTGTTATCCTATCTAATTTTTTTTGAAAATATATAATGTATTTGTATTCTAGACTTATTCATTATAGTAAATTATATAAAAATAAATAAAAACATTATATACCAATAGAATAGTATCGTTCATTAATGTCAAATGTACCAAGTATTACTATTAAATTGAGATTACAACATATTATTTTTAAACTTCAACGATAAAATTTTGGAATATAATATATATTAATGAAGTTCAACTACAATTTTTTTAAAGATGGATTTTTAATAACTGTTCGATTAAAATTCCTATATTTGAAAATTAAAATTTCGATATAATTAAAACATATATATTTATGAATAAATAAAAGTTTTATTCCTAAATTTAAACTAATCCGTTTTTCAAGGTTAATATACATTTGATATTTTATAGATAAATTAATTAAAAATAAAATATAAATGTACGAAATAATTAGTTATTCTAATATAATATGCTAGTTATACTTAATGGATAATAATTAAGATAATGAACACAAAATATAATATTTTAGCAACGCTCGCAACCAAAATATAATTTGATGTTATTCCTGAACTCTCTGTCCAATACAAAAAACGTGATGAAACCCAAGGAGTTGTTGACTAACTCCAAAAAATTGGCAACTGTAACTAAATCCCTGTAAAGACAAGTCCGAGGTGAGCAGTGAAAATAGTTGTATGTAACGGATATGAACGAAGATGGTACTGTTAAAACGAAATACTGAAATATTAGGATCATAATTATAAATGTCAATCGATATTTATTTATATTTTGGGAACTTTCCATAATAGAACGGAACTCTATACGATACTTCGATATCTTGGATGTTTTTTTCTGAATTTCTTTGATATTCATTTCACTTATAGATGGCATGGCAATCTGGCACTTCTTTGATAAAGAGTTTTCAAAATCTTTATGATCAAATGCAGTTGAATCATCTAAATTATTTATTCTAACCTCCATTTTGATTGAACTGACACTTAATGATCGGTGTCTATTAAAATGTGTAGGATTGAGAACCTTAGAATCAGGAATTACGTTTTCAACACTTAATTGATTATTAGGTAAATCTTTGTTAAACTCGCTCGGACTACACATTGTAATATTCTTTGATCTCCCAATATGTTTTCTGAATTTTAAGAAGGTCCGAGCATTCAGGAAAAATAAAACTACCAAAGTTATATAAGTGAAAAGAATTTCTTTGGTTATTTCATAGATGTCAAAGGCTTTGGTCTTCTTATTGATTGTAACACGGTGATACTTGGTTAAAAATCGGTAATTAAATTTAGCGCCGTATACAGAGGACGATGACAAAATTATTGATACATTTTCAAAAACTGTATGTTCACTTACCTGGTACCATTTGTATAATGGAATCTGCCAAGCGAGACAAACTATGAATGTGATAAACAAAATAATGCAAAGGTTTTTTCGAGTGCAATAAAATTTGTGCCGTAAAGGGTGACATATAGCAGTGTATCTATCCAACGATAAGACTATAATGATAAATAGATTCGTTTTTTCTAAGACTGCCTTGATAGGAAAGAAGGCGTCTCCTATAAATTTCAAGAAACTAAAGGAGTCCCAATATTGATCAGACCCGAAATCACGGACCTTTAATTTAAAGCTCAAATATAACAAGAAGGGCCAGGGAATGCTGAATAAACAGAACAGGAGCTGTAAGGTTACGAGTATTCTGACGTAGAAATAGTATCGGTGAGCTTCTTTCTCGTGGATAAAATGATTTTTTATACTAAGCCATATTATTTTGAATTTACCTTTTAGATAGCAGTTTACATTATGAACTGAAGGGATGAACATTCCAAAGATTTTTAGACTCCGTTGATTTTGAATATCTATTTTGTCTGCCACATTTAAACGGTTGTTGATATCCCTGTCCAAAAATTTGTTTAATTTTATATTGATCCTTTGCTGGTTAGGTGTGAATATTATCGGGGCGATTTGATTTTGTTTAAAGTATTTTTTGACGTGAGAAGGTCTCTTGATAAATATTAAGGTCAAAGTATTTCCTATGATTCCGATTACAATAATTATAGGCGACAATATAGTGTAGAGTATCCATTCACTCTTGTTCAGTAAAACATTTTCACTATTTATAGTCATAATTATATATTATTCTACATATTTATTTGAAAAATTAATAATAAATGATATTGATGCTAATATTTATAAAGGTAAAAATTAATTACTTAATCAATACATTTCTGTTCAAAAATAATTACTCATATTATTTAAAAAAAATGTTTGTTAAGGATTAATCTTTTTTTATCGCAATCTAACTATAAGTATGGTATATATAGTCATAAAGAATTGTTTTAATAAACCTTTATAGCATACATTTTCAAAATTTCTTAATTTGTTAAACTAAATTACCTACTTATTACAAAAAATAGTTACGTAGGAAAATTATAAAAATGTTTATAATTTTTTAAGTTTTCCATCAGTATTTTCTATTTTAGAAAATTCTGGATTAAATAACCTATAAAACAATAATATCAATTAGCCATATTATTTTAGGGGATATATTTACATCGAAGTTATGATGTTTGTTGATAAATCTTGAAATAAAATTAGGCTAAAATTTAATATCTAAGAGGAGATGGATTGAAGTGTAGGATCAAATGTAAGATTGATATAAGAAATTCACACAAAGAGTGGTAGTAAGGTTAGGCTGAGTATAAATGAAAATGACTGCAAAGTACTGAGATAGCAAAAGGAATTGGGGAGGGAGAAAAGGGGTAACATTAATTTTCTGGGGCTGTAATGGCCTAGATATATGACAAAATATAATATCAATAAGGAGGCATCTATTAGGTACATAGGGGAATGAAGGTTTCAAGGGATCAAAGTGAAAAGAAAAATAAGGGGTGATTACATATTATTGTTTTGATTCTTATGTTTTAAACACTATGATTATGCTTTGTATGAATTTCATGACTAATCTAATAAAATTGATGATTTGTTTTTGGGAAGTACACAGCTAAAAATTCCTTACTGAAATGCAAGTTGATTCTTATGTTTTAAACACTATAATTATGCTTTGTATGAAGTTCATAAATCAACTAATCTAAGATGATTTGTTTTTATCTGGGAAGTACACAGCTAAAAATTCCTTACTGAAATGCGAGATGAGTTATTAATTATGGGTAATATCTCCAAATTCATATTGAGAAGTGATGAACGATATCATAAAATTTGGATTTTTTAGTATGTGGCAGGCTATATATATCTTTGAAATAACCTTAATAAGCTTAAAAAGATTAAGTCGAAAAATTAATATTTTATACAATACTACAAACTATAAAAACACAATGAAATCAACTAAATGTAAATATTTTAGTGTTCCTTATAGAAAATGAAGCAAGATCTCTACACATTTTTAAAAATAATACATTTGTCAAAGTTGGTAGAATTTAAGATTGGGAGATTAGAACCGTTGTCAAATAAAGAAAAGTTAGAACTAAATTATGATACTAAATCTTTATTAAATACTTAAATATAAAGTGAAAACATAATCAAAATAAAAGAAAAATAAAATTAATATAAATTAATTTTTTTTTTTATAATGAGATAAATAACAAATTTCACAAATTTTTCATTTACGAATTATAATTAAAAAATATATATAAACTATATATTAAAAATGAATTAAAAAATATGTATGTATAAAAGAGAAATGAAATAAAAAAAAAAATAATAAAATTTTTTAAAAAACCCTAGAGAAGAGTGAATGCTTAAGAAATTGGACCGGCAGATTTCCAGGATAATTAAAAAAAAAAAATTCGCAACATAATAATAATAATTATAATCCTTTATCAGTAAAATATCCACGATTATATTTACTTTTCTATCTTATTCATTTACATAGTCTTTACTCAAATATAATCTAATTATTCATTTCGTTTTTCTGTTAAACAGTCGATTTGAATATTACTTCTTTTTTCTTGATTTTATTTCAAAATAAATTTACATATTACAACAAATAATATTCTAACAGAGACTTGCAAAAATATCTATTACACAGCCGGTTCGGATTGAATTCTCTTAAGTATCCAAGTCCGGCCTGGTATTTGTTTGAAATTTATTATTTTGAATAACTTTGGCTGTATATTTTAGAAATTGTTTTAAAGGGAGATTGTAAATGTGAGCAATAAACGAATATTATACGCTACATTTTTTATTTTTAACTCATCATTTGATATATTTGAATTTATTTTTAAAATTTTTTTTGAATATTGTAAAATGCAGTATATTTAAAATCTCGTTATGGGGTTTATTTTTTAGTAAAATCTGGACTTGACTATGCTTTGGCTTGGACCTGCAGGTCTCTAATTGCAAAAACTCAATTCCTTAACCCTTTATTGCTACATTTCAACATTTAAAAAAATCCTCTATTGCTCACTTATAAAAATTTAAATAAAATAATCACTGAGATTGTTTAAAATATTATTTTTTGATATTTATTGAAATTTTATAATATAAAATACAAAAATTACAAAATAATTTATAACTGGGGGATGGACATATTTTTCCCACTGTGTATTATGTACATTATTTTTTGTTATGAAAAGAAAAATCAATTTCTTTTAGCGTTAATATAAAGCGAAACTTTACTAATAGAACATTCCCAGGATGTCCTAGAACATTCTCAGGATGTCCTAATATATTTTTCCAAGGGATTCCGAATCACTAGCAAGAATTTTTATAGAAATGTGATCCGATCCCTTTTTCCTTTTTCCTTATATCATCAGCGACATTTTTTTTATGAAATTTTGAAGGAGTCGATATTAGATTTCTTTGCAAGGATGATGATACACCCAAGTCAAAAATCTCTTTTGAGATAGAAGATTTTAGATAATTTTTAATCGAAATAGAGACCTCTTATATAATCACCAGAGCTGTAAAAACTTGGTGGGGGTATAGTAATTACCCTCCAATTTAATTCAATTAGGTTGTCCTCG